ATATATTATATGATCTTTTTTAAAAAAAAAAATTATTTATTTTTAAACACTACTGTGCAAATTTATAGATATTCATATTTGTAACTCATGGCTGATTTGCATAAACATATTAATTTTTTTAATAATATAATTTGACAATATGATAGTTTTTTATTCATTTTTTTTCAATTTAAAGAATAAGATTTTTTGACTAAAAACTAATTTTTTACAAAAAAAAATTAAAACATTTAACATAGATTAAAAATTAATATATTTGTATATTTTAATTTATTACAAATTAACTAAACTGACTATAGATTGTATTATCCAATTCAAAAAATAATTATACTAAAATATAGGATACAATTTAGTGTTTAGGGTGTTGAACTTCATAAGAGTAGATATAAGATTAATTCTCACCAAAGGATTTCTAACCGGGAGATCGATTTTATCCACATTTAAGCATGGTCTACTAAAGGTGAGCGGGTTGAGTTGGATGGTTAGGTGATTTAAGATGGGAAATGATTATTACTATATTCGAGGCCTCGATTCTCACTGGCACAATCTTTTTTTTTTAAAAAGGTGGAGTCCAGTACTAGAGTAGATATTTTTTGTTTTTTTTATTAAAAAAAACTTCATGCTAAAGTCAGATATGTTAATATATCAAAAACAATTATCACGAAATGTTAAACCCTCGCAATGATAAATATAGATATTTTTTATAAATTATTTTGTACTATTTTTTTTATTTTCTGTTCGTACTTAGCCTTTTAAAGAAAATTTATATTTTAGTTTAATTATTTTTTTAATTTTACAATACAATATAAATTCTGTTGAATTAAATTGTAATACATTAAAGTATACCAGTAAAAAAATTTTAATCTATGGTAATGTCTAATTTTTTTGTGTAAAATTAGTTTTAGTTAAATAATCTTATTTTTTAGATTTAAAAAATAGATTAAAAAATAGTATCATTACTGTTAAAACATATTATTAAAAAATTAATATGTTTATGAAAATCAAACATGACTTACAAATATGTAATTATAAATTTGTATATTAGAGTTAAAAAATAAATATTTTTTTAAAAGATCATATAATATATTTTTATAGTTACGAAAATAGTAAAAACAAATAGAAAACATGTAAAATTAAAATAAAGCTGAAAATATACTTTCATGTTATATTTACAAATTTTTGAGGTTATTTTTATAATTTTCAAAACTATTAGGGTTTTTTGTAATTAAAACTAACAGAATTCTGTCAATTTAAACGGGAATTGACAAATTGGACAAAATCAGCTAACGGTTGGATAGTTTAGGGTAATATTGGCTAATCGAAAAAGAATATGATAGAATTGACAACGTATGTCAATTTTTAGGTAGATCGGCCAATTTTTTTCATATACTAATAGTTTGTACGGTAATAATAAGAATATATCTCAAAAAAGAAAACACCGTCAAGTCTAAGATAAAGAAGAAAAATTTTAACGGCGGACTATCTGGCTGTTCTAGTCCATTTTGGGGTAAAAGTCCCTCCACAGAAGGCAAATTGACCCGGACATAAATTTGGGGGACAAGAAGTGTCGCCATGCGCTTAGGATTCTCTGAGTCAATCAAGCAAGCTTGCATTCAGGGCAGTTGGCAGATCCTATCATCTTATCAACAACACTTTCCCCTTCCTTTTACAATTTTTCTTCTGCTTTTAGTTTGAGTTTCTATAACCATAACCAAAACCAAAAAAAAAAAAACATTTTTCGCCATTGAAAAATTCAAGCATCGATCCTTTTGAAAATAAGTTCATTTATTGTAAACAGATCTATGTAATGTGCTTGTTGAATGCATATAAGGCCAAAAAAAAAAAAAAAAACACTATTACTTGTGACCGACTAGCTTTCATAACAAACGTTTTATTTTCTCTGGTTTTGTAATTAGGATTACTGAGAGAGTATATATGTGCAAAATTTGATAAGAATAAACAACAGCGGCAGTATAAACAGTACAAGCAGGCTAAGTGGTCTGAGTAAATGCAACAACAAGGTTACAGAAAGGAAGGACAATATAGGCAGAGGGAACCAAAAACAAAAGGATGAACACTAGTTTTCGTTCCTTAGCCAGCCAACATTTCTAATCGTGTCTGTGGGGGGAGACAAATTGTACCACCCCTCCCATACAACTTATCTTTAATTTTAGGTAAGCCCTATTTCATTCAATCATGGGGCATGGTATGAATTCCTTCCCAATTCCAGTTGTGTCCATCTCTTCTTCCTCCTACTCCAATTTTTCTAGTTTTTTGTTATGTCAAGTTATTTGAAGATCTAGATATATACTAGCTTTTTGTCACATCAATATATTTTAATCACAATATACTCCATTGCAAAGTTTGAAATAGATTTCTCTAGTGCTCCCTATACCTTTTCTTTTCTTTTTTTTTTTTCTCTTTTTTTTTTTTTTGGTTCCTCATTGAATTATTACAACAAATGCCGGATAGCCACCGCCACTAGGTTTGCCGCTCATGGCAATGCCAGCTGATTTAGTTATTAAAATTCCGACCAAATTATAGCATATTATATAGACTTCAATCGCAACCTGCTAAGTTATAGTAGTTCGACGGTAACAAGTAACAGTCTGTAATCTGTATACTCCCTCTGTCCCATAATTATTGTCCAGTTTGAATTTTCACTTTTAGTACAATTTGAACTAAAAATGAAAACTCAAACAGGACAATAATTATGGGACGGAGGAGTACTAAATAAATGCAACTTGATACATACGATAAGTGGATTATAAGACTTATCATCACAATTAATTAATCAATTATCTTATATGTATATAATACCTATCATTTGCGCAGCGGTTGCCTATCGTAAAAATGTATTAATTTAATCTCAGGCGTTTAGTTTCCTTTATTGTAACTAAAAATAAAATTACACAAATGAACAAGGGTTATCGTTTGACTGAGTATGTACGCCTTCTCACACTGGATTATAGGATAGATTAGGGTTTTCATTTGGAGGGGAACATGAGTGTCGAGAAAATTGAATAACTTGTGTACCTAATAAACATGATTTGACAATTCTCTAGTGAGTTTGTGTGTCCTTCACAAAACTACGAAGACCATGTACAGGCAGACATACATATAAGTCACACAATTTATGACCATTGGAACGTCTTTTCTCAAAAAATTAAAATAAAAATAAAAATAAAAATTATGAGATATAAGAAAATTTGAAGGGTAAAAAAGAATTGCGTACATTGACGACTGGATCATCTAGTCAACGACCTAAGGGTTGCAACAAATCCAAAATAAGTATAAACGGTAGGCTTTTGATTTTTAACTGAACCACTCAACCAATCGAAGCTAGAGAATTTAAGTAAATTATACTGTAGAATTCATGAATTACAGTCTCTGAGCTGGCTTATAAATGTTCATGGCTGGAGAGGAAACCTGAAGCTAAGTATATGGAGCTCAGAAATATTGATTGTAGCAGCAAAGAGTTAAACGCTAATGTCAGAACCATGTCATGCATTTGTTTCCCTTGACCTGAATCTTTCTCAATTTCAGACTAGACAAGTATGTCTCAACTCATTCAAATTTGCCCCCTATTACCACTGAATTCAATCAAACTCAAACTGTCCTAAACAAGAACGTACGTTCTTATCTCCCAACGTGTACATTTTTGGATAGATTGCACTGGCAACTAATGTCCCGCGCGCGGAAATGTTAATTAGAAAGGTGTACGAGATTTAGTTGATATTGGAAAATCTAAATCATATCTAAGTAACTAGATATTGTTACCGAAAGTCATGTGCTAACGTTGACGACCACACACATTCTGTTATATATTTCCTTAGTATATTTAAATCAAATCTGAACTATACAATCATTTCATAGTGGATGGGTTATAAATTTTTTTCTTTTTTTTTTTTTTTTGGGGGGGGGGGTATTCATCTATGAGGATATTCACTCCGACCCCGGTGAACACATCTAGCTGCTTGAATCGATACAAAGAAGATTAGCATGGCCCCTGCGCAAGGATGACACGCACAAACCCAAAAAAAAAAAAAAAAATCTAGCTGCTTGCAGCCTTGCACCATGGGCTTAAAAGATGGTTTTAGATTCTAATACTGAAATGTTTAGGCTCCTAATTAAGATCTGAATTGGGTCTCAATACACATAGCCCACTGTGTGTTTCATGACTTTAACCCAAACCATTTAGTGACAATTTAAATACATATTGATTTGCGGAGGTTGTTGTTAATACCTATTAGACAAAGATCGCCAGTCAAAGCAAAACATTCTCTATTCCAAATGACGTTCTTGGTCAAAGGTTAAAGACAGTTAGACCATTATCCTTTCAAAGTAGAAATATTTTTTACTTTTTGAAAGATTTCTACTCGTTATTCAATCCGTTGTGGATAAAATACATGAACGACATATATGATCCATTTTGAATACTACATATAAATGATAGTTGTGACAGGTTCCTAGCAGATGTATTTGCGACCCCTGATTATTACATCTCCCCAATTCGAAAAGAAAACACGAGTCTTACCGAATAGGATAAAATAGCAACTCATGTACAGATGTAGAAACATTATGATTAATCAAAGATGGGATGTTTAAATTTTGCTCCAAACATTGACTTATTTCAAATTTTTTAATTAGTAGTTCCATTCAGAAGTATACACACAATACATTGAAAAGATTAATTATCACAATTCACAGTAGACACCTTATTATGTATATAGAGAGAAAAAAAAAGAATTATACTTACGGTTTATATGGTTCGACAATTTTATCAATTCATTAGTCACTATTTCAATTTAACGAGTAATTTGTACTTGTTTTATATCACCGGTCGAGAAAAAAGAAAAAGAAAACAGAGGGAAAAAGGAAAAGAGGAATAATGATAAACCAAAAGCATCTAGATCCGCACGCATGCTCTCTCACAAGTCATACGCACATAAACACACACTCACACACTTCTTTTTCCCTATAAATACACATCCGCTACACATGGTCATCTCCCTATTTTAATCTCAATCTTTCCCACAAAAATTCTCAAAATTTTTTTTTCCCTCAAAGTAAAACACAAGAGTCCAGTGTACTCAGTACCACTCAGTAGCATTTTAGCCAGCATTTTCAGAACTCTGTTCCTTTTTTTTATATATAAGTACAGCACATCAGAAAGACATATATCCTTTTAGTCAGTCAGTCCAACTCTCTCTTTACAGTTAATTAACGACTTTCCTTTCCAGCTCTCCCTTCTTCCTTCAACCTAGTGGAGTTATATAACTTACTTACTGTTCATCATCTTCTTCTCCTGAGGATCTAGATCCACAAAGAAAGATGATAACTTGGCATGATCTCTACGTGGTGTTATCCGCGGTGATCCCACTGTATGTGGCCATGATTTTGGCCTATGGCTCTGTTCGGTGGTGGAAAATCTTCACCCCTGACCAATGCTCCGGCATCAACCGGTTCGTGGCGGTTTTCGCCGTCCCTTTACTCTCATTCCACTTCATTTCCACCAACAACCCCTACGAGATGAATCTCCGGTTCATCGCCGCCGATACTCTCCAGAAAGTCATAATGTTAGTCGTGCTTGCCTTATGGGCTAACCTCACCAGAAATGGCAGCCTGGAATGGAGCATCACCATTTTCTCCTTGTCCACGCTTCCCAACACTCTGGTCATGGGAATTCCTCTGTTGATTGCTATGTATAATCCTTACGCCGGAAGTTTAATGGTCCAAGTCGTGGTTTTACAGTGCATTATTTGGTATACTCTGTTACTCTTCCTGTTCGAATACAGGGGAGCCAAGATGTTAATCATGGAGCAATTCCCGGAGACCGCCGCCTCGATTGTTTCGTTCAAGGTGGAATCCGACGTGGTTTCCCTCGACGGGCAAGATTTTCTTGAAACCGACGCCGAGATTGGTGACGACGGCAAGCTTCACGTCGTTGTTCGGAAATCGAATGCTTCTCGGCGGTCGTTGGGTCTCTCCGGGATGACTCCCCGGCCGTCGAATCTCACCGGAGCTGAGATTTACAGCTTGAGCTCATCGAGGAATCAGACGCCCAGAACGTCTAACTTCAACCATACTGATTTCTACTCGATGATGGGTTTTGGCGGCCGGTTGTCCAACTTCGGTAACTCCGATACGGGTCGGTTATCCAATTTCGGCCCGGGTGACATGTATTCCGTGAACTCCTCCCGAGGACCAACTCCGAGACCGTCAAACTTCGAAGAAGCCTGCACCACTGCTCCCGGAGCCGGCGGCGGCCTAATGAGCTCCCCAAGATTCGGGTTTTACCCGGGTCAGGCTGTGAACCCAACTTCGTATCCAGCTCCGAACCCGGAAATCGCGTCTACTCTGCCGAAAACAGGGAAGAACCAAGTCCAACCGGGCCACCACCACCAGCCGCCGCCGCCGCCGCACCTCCCGCCGGCGAGTATGAATAACAATAACAACAAAACAAGCCATGATGCGAAAGAGCTGCACATGTTTGTGTGGAGTTCGAGTGCGTCACCGGTGTCGGAAGTTGGTGGGTTACACGTGTTCGGCGGGCCCGACTTTGTGGCTAATGATCAATCCGGACGGTCCGATGGCGCCAAGGAAATCCGGATGTTGGTTTCCGATCACCCGCATAACGGGGAAAATAAAGGTATACATATCCACATTATTATATTTAATTATCATCATTATTACACGAACAAAATATTAAAAGAATGTTTCATTTTTAATTAACGTTAATTTGGGTTTTTGTTTTTTTAGGCGCTCCACAAAGTGGGGAATATGTGAGAGAGGATTTTAGCTTTGGCGGTGGAGGAAGGGATCATGGGGAGGATGAGGAGAAAGATAAAGAAGGTGGTGGTGGTGGACCCACTGGTTTGTCTAAACTGGGGTCCAGCTCCACTGCTGAGCTACACCCGAAGACAGCCGGGCTTCAAGATTCCGGCGTCGGCAAACAGATGCCTCCGGCCAGTGTCATGACCCGACTCATTTTGATCATGGTTTGGAGGAAGCTTATCCGCAACCCAAACACATACTCAAGTCTCATTGGTCTTATATGGTCCTTAATTTCATTCAGGCACGTAAAGAATTAAAACTGAATATTCTATCTATCTGGAATATTAACTATCAATTATTTTCGAACAAAAGAAATAAGAAATACCTAGATGTTTTATTTCTTTCGGTTTACGATTAATTAATTGTGTTCTTGTGAAATGATGCGCAGGTGGAATGTGCAAATGCCGATAATTATAAAGCAATCCATTTCTATCTTGTCAGATGCTGGTCTTGGAATGGCAATGTTTAGTCTTGGTGAGTAATTTTTATTTTATTTTTTAATACGAAATAAGCAAATCATGGTTGGGAAAGGGAAGAACACTGCATATGTGTAACTTGTGACACTTTACTTTCTTCGGATTTTTATTTTTGGACGGAAGCAGTAACATTATTGTCACACATTTGAATCGGCCAAAAATTAGTAGTCAATATAAGCGAATCATGTGTTTATGAAACTTTATCCAATAAACACACTAATATGAATGGTTGTGATCAATGAATGACCATGCAACCGTGATTTTTTTTTTTTTTCTTTTTAAATATCTTCAGCCAAAAAGAAATTCACATTATCACTGTGTTGGATTGACCACCCGACACAAGGGGCCGATAGGGCGATTGTCGCTAGCGGTCCATGAAAAGTTTTCATGGTGGGTTGATTGAGCCCATCAACATCAAGGAGTTAAATTTACACACACTAGCGGTGGTGATGGTAGTGGTGAAATGCCAAAATGGGGGTAGTAATGTAAAAGCCAAAAGTTGGTTGGAATTTAATTCAACTATATTTTGAATTTTATTTTAAGTATTTTTTTTTCTGGGTTGGGACAAGTTGGTAATAATAATTGGGATGTTAATTGTGAACGTGATAGGTTTGTTTATGGCCCTTCAACCCAAGATCATAGCATGTGGAAACTCGGTGGCTGCTTTCGCCATGGCTGTTAGGTTTCTCACTGGTCCAGCTGTTATGGCCGCTGCTTCCATTGCCATTGGCCTCCGTGGTACCCTTCTCCATATCGCCATCGTCCAGGTATGTTGAAGAAAAGCGTTTTTGTTTTTGTTTTTATTTTTGTTTTCATTTTCATTTTCATTCTCGCTAAATGTTAAAAATTCGAGCCGTAACTTTTTGATTGATCAACTTGTATATACATTTCAAATTAATGCCATTACGTAACAGGCTGCTCTTCCACAAGGGATTGTACCATTTGTGTTTGCGAAAGAATACAATGTCCATCCAGCTATTCTTAGCACCGGGTAAGTGCATCCATTTGGTTATCTTTTCTTTCCGTCTCAAAGTAAGAGTCGTTCTGATGTCAAGATCTAATTTTTTTAAAAATTTGTGTAAATTTTCAGGGTGATTTTCGGGATGTTGATTGCATTGCCAATTACGTTGGTCTACTACATTGTTCTTGGATTATGAACAAGATAAGACTTTGGAAGTGAGTAATTTGGTGGGAGGACGAGCCGTATTATATCAAAAAAAAAAAAAAAACTGACTTTATATATTGATGAAGATTGAACTGACTGATTCTCAAGGCAGAGAAAGAAGATGAAGAATTCAAAAGAAAATTGTAGGAAATTGATGAAGTGGCATCAATATCAAAATAGAGAGCAGTTGGAAGAATCCAAAAATGGTTGGATTTAATTAAGGTTTGAACATCCCTGATATGAGGATCATGCCCCCCATAGCCGTCTACGAGACAAACACAAATTATGTGGAAAAGAAGAAATCTTCAAAATTGGAGAAAAGGAATGAAGGCTTTTAGTCTAGCAGAAAGGGAACAAGAGACAGTAAATCAAGGGAAAGGAAAAAAGAGAACTGAATTGAATTGAATGGATTTTTCTTGTGGGCAATAATTGCGCATGGAAAGAATGCAATTTGGGGAGTATCATTATTATTATTTTTTTTTTGAGTCAATAGTTCACATCTAATCCAAGTGGATAAATAGTAGTAGTAGGTATAGGATCTCTGCTGTTTCTGTATTTTTTTTTTTAATTTTTTTTCGGGTTTGTCAATATGGATCTTGGTAATTAATCTAGATTAAATTAAGTGATCTTTCCTCATTTTTTTAAAATTGTACTGTTTGTTAACGTTGGACATGTAGATTATCTAATGTATCTTCGTAACTTTTAGTGCCTCTTTTCATTGAGTGTAAATTATGCATACTTTGAGCAAGTAAAATACTTAAAATAGATAGTGGATATCAGATATCCTTCGCTTTTCCTGAGAGAAACTATAAGTAGCTATTTTGAGTAACCGGTAAAATTCAAACCCAAAATTTTGTGAGATTTTTTTACGCCTGAGAGCTAATAGTTGGTCCTCGAGCGTTTGATACTCAACTATAAGCCAACATGTGCATATTAGTCGTAGATTTTATAAAATTACTTCTTGAACGTTTCGATTGACTTTGTATAATCATATTGTATAATTTGTGACTACGTCTCAAGATGTACTAGGATGGTACATTTGATGCAACAAAATGACATATCCTGTCAATATATCTACAAATTTTGTTCATTCATTTCACATTTTCTCATTTGTAAGAGTCATTTCACAGTCTAAATTCATCGTATTAATCGTTACTATAGCGAAAGCGATGGAGCTTATGGTTTTGATTAAAGGAGGCATACATATATCTTACTTTCTCCGTCCCAAAATTATTGTCCAGTTTAAAATTTCATTTTTAGTAGAATTTGAACTATAAATGAAAAATTAAACTGGACAATAATTATGGGAAGGAGAGAGTATTTTTTTTTTTTTTCACTTTCCGCTATCACTTAAAGAGAAAGCAAAGAAGAGAGAGTAGTGAGGGATCAATCAACACATACAGCTGAAAGGACATCAACTTTCTGCTTGTTTGCTTAGTGGGATCTTTGTGCTTTTGGGCACACAAAGCACTTTGGGAGTTTATACTTTAGAGGGGCTCTCTCTTTTTCTCTTCTTTTTTTTTTTTTAAAGAGGAATGTGGGATTATTGAGAAAGCATGGGAAAAAAAAAGGGATTAATCGAAGTCAAAAAAGTTACTTTTGCTTTTTAGTAAAAATGGCTCTCTTTGATGCGCCACGGTCACATAACGCTACCCTCCTAGGCACCTACCTACCATGCCCTACCTCTCTATCCCTATATGGCTAATATGCCCAAATTGGGGCCAAGATTCATCGTCTTTGTAGGGTTTGTGCCCGTCTCCATTTTCAACATTGGGCATCTTTGTTAGTGAAGTAAAAATTTCAAGAATGTAGCTTTCAATTTTGTTGAATTAACCCTAACTTATTTACATCATGCACTTACCATATATAAAGTTATGAACACTTTTTTTACTTGTTACTTGTTTGTGTGAAGGATTGAGGCAAAATTTTAGTATTGACTACGGTTTGAATTCAGGTTTTGCTATCGTAAATTTAACCACTTTAAAACTGTTAAGAATGAGTAATATATAATAGTTAACAATGCTATGTTTAAGAATGGATTGTATATAATAGTTAAGAATGCTATGTTTATACTATGAGAAGGCTATATTCCCTTTGTCTTAGAAACATAATTCATAGTAAGTTTAGAATTTTAAATTACTTCAAGATTACTACAGCAAAGAGAAGTGGAGCGGATGATTTAGGAGATTAACAAAAAGTTTTGGCCTATTCGGCATTGGCCAAACAAGTTAAACTGGAAGACAAAATACTTCGCACTGAACGAGAAATGGATTGGTGGGAAGTTTAGAATATATAAAATGAGCGTACTACGTCGCTACGACTCTTTTGAGTTGAACTCACTTTCTACGAGTCACTTTGGGTTACGCACTTTGACTACAATGATCATACTACTTTCCTAGTTAATCAATCACCAATACTGTTATGCTTCTTCTTGATACTACTAGCATTAGACAATCACCATCTCCATTCTGAGTGCGAAAGTAATCCCGTTGCCTATATCGATTTTTCAGTTGAAATTTTCACATTTTACTATAATTTGTATTGAAAATGAATATACGAACCGAATGGTTAATTATTTCGAGACAAAGAGATAATTGAAAAAGGGATTTAACCGTATATATATATATATATGCATATATTGTTTCTTACCTTATTTACACCTCCTATAGAATAGATTACGATGGATTACCATGCAACTGCAATCATAAAGAGAGTGATTGATATATGGGTTAATTTAGATCGTTAATCTTACATTAAAAAAAGTTATTGAGTTGACATATGGTTAGTAAAGATAATGATTAGTGGATACAAGGAGGTTCAAATATATTGAAACCACATTAATTTTTGAACGTATTCAAAATGGAAGTGTTGGTATTCGATTAAAAAAGAAACTATAAATAAACTTTAATGGACAAGCGACTTCTAAATAATAAGCGCTTTTCCTCTCAAAATATCTATGCAAACTCTACTCGAATTAATCAGGACAATGATTTCAGATAATAATCGTGTAATATTTCAAAAAGAGAATCGAATTTTTATTTCTAAAAGTTATACATCTAGAATCCCGAAATATCTCTTGATCCCATGCAGCCTATATAACCACGCCTGTGTCAAGTCCTAGAACAAAAAAGCTCTTCACACTTTCAGCATAATCTGCAGAGAGACTACTAGCAGCAATGTCAAATAAATGTGATATTCTCAAAGAATGTTCCAAATTATCAGATCCTATTTTGGAAGTCGAGTCTGCGCAGTGTATACAAATTTCATGCATACGTTGTTATCATTATCTGCCCAATTTTAGGAAACGATTCCCCAGTCATCTGTTCCCTCCTCTGCCAAAATTCTGCTGAATCCCCTGTTCTTTTCATCCACTGAAAAAACGAATAGAAACGTCGATATTTATTTGCATGCGCTGCAACCCACTTTTTTTTCTTTTTCTTTTTTTTTTTTTCCTGAGATTGTTAGATTCGAATTTCATCATTTCCTTTTCTCTGACCACTTTTTCAGGTTTCTAGAACGCCACCATATGTATTCTCTCCAAAGTTATTTGTCCCGATTCAAGTCTTCTTACATATTCCACTCAAAATGTGAAAATTGGACGAATTACTTCATCTGTTACCAAAAACAAAAATCTTGTTTCTTGCACAAAAATTTGACAATGAATTCAATTTATTATCTTAAATTCAAGTATAAATTTAATTCAAAGCTCTTGATTTAGAGAGAAAAAAAAAAGTATTCCTTATGTCCCAAAATTGTTGTCCAGTTTAAGATTTCATTTTTTGTTCAACTAAAAATAAAATCTTAAACTGAACAATAATTTTAGGACGGAGGGAGTAATTCCACGTGCAGAATCATCTATTGGTTTAAAACTTTGTAATGTACGCCGAAAATGTGAAAACGGCCTACAAAATAGACTAAGAAAATCAGGCAAAGTAATTTTGTCGGGATCACGTTGTCAAAATATGGTTAACTAACCCAAATAAAATAAGGTGGACAATCACAATCCTTGTCCACTTTTACGCGGTTCCATTCCCATGTACTATGTAGTAGGGGTAAAAAGAAAAACTACTAGTGAAATATGTATTGCTCCCTAAGCTTGTAAAAAATATTACTCTTTTTATTGTATGGTTTAATTTCAACAAAATAAATTATTTGGGACACAAGAAATATTTTAATTATCTAATGAAGTTTGAACCTAATACACGTAAATCGTAATAAATAACAACTCTCATTATAATCATCTTACCCTATCGTCTCATCCTGACATATCAATGTGTCTTCTCTTTAATTGTGTCACTAACTTTTTTCGGGTCAACAATAAACAAATTCCTATCTTCTCTATGTACCAAACCATATATGTTGAGCGCCAATTTGTTGAAATGTCTAAAAAAAAATTAAAAATTAGGGGAAAAAAATCCCAAATCTTGTGATTATAATGGGCTTATATGTTGAGAAATTAAACAGAAACAAAGGTAATGAGAAAGGTGGATAATCTAGGTTGAAATTAGCAAAATGGTCAAGCTACGAAGTAGATATTAGCGGTAGTAATCATAGGTTAACACCCCCATTTGGTAGAAGTAGCATCAATCAATCAATTCTTTGATGGCTTTTATTCTCATTGACCATCCAAAGAGAAAACAGACACACTGACTATATTTGATAAAGATTGGACGAACCATGTGTATTTACATCAGTTATCAATTATGCCTATAATACGACAACCATTTGCGCATGGACTCAATCAATGGCTTCAAGACACCAACATTAATCCAAATAATGAAATAGTAATCCAATCATTAATGTAGTAATGTTTTATTGAAAATTATTTAATAATATGAGTTTAATTTAATACTAATGTTTACTACGTACCAATAATATTATATGTGGTGAATGCATTCTCACAAGACAAAAGTTGAATATAATACAAAAACGCTCAATGTACGCTATCTTTTTCTAAAGGTATGCAGACTTGAATAGAATGATGAGTATATTTTATATGAATTTTTTAAAAGACAAAATGTATTTAAATAAACACTCTAAATATGACATTGATAAGTACTTGACGAGTATATCACATTTTATTAATCAAAATCTTGATACTTAATTAAGTATTCCAAAAAATTTAGCCATAAATAAATTTATATTATCGTCACGCTTTGTATATCTTTGTGGGAAGCGGCGCATCTGCTCATTGGCTTATTTAGTTTGTACTTAAACCTATGTACGAACTAACGGGATTGGCTACAATTAGTTTTATTAATTGATTCGGATTTTTAGTTTCCATTTATGTACGTTGTTTTGGCATAGAAATCGTGTTACATTTTTAATGTAAAACCAATACACTACAAAGAACACACAGCCACACGTGGTGTTGAGTAGGGAGAAGTGTGACAAGGGAGGGTCCATTCTCATGTGGAAGCCCATTCCTCGTCCATGTGGTGTTAGGGTTTTGATCTGAAATTAATAATACTACTATTACTAATAATAATAGAAGTGATGGCAATGGAAGCCAAACATATGCATTCCATGGCATCTTGCATGAATTATTGCTGGTGGGGAAAGGCAATAAAAGAGAAAGGGGATCGGAAGGTTGTGGAAACTATGGGGGAAGACTTTCATTTGAGAGCGGATGATAAGTAGAACGTCTTTAATCCGTTCCATAATATAAATTGAGAGTGTGAATCTATGTTTTGAATTGTCTTTCAAGTTTTAAGCTTTCGACAAACCCAAGATTAGTATAGTCACTGGATTTGAGTTAATATCTATTTTCAGTTCTAAACGTGTCTTTTTCCCTGTACGTATCATTATTATATAATTATCGAGTAGATTAGTCTTATTGTACCTTATGAAAATCGAGTAAAGTTACATACAATATGACCATGATGGTGAAGAATCATACTGTATCTTGATTTGTTATATATACAAGACTTATTTATTCAATAATTATAAAATATTCTAAATAATTTAAAATGGTATACCCATATATATGGATTTGCATGTTGCATGAGAATGTGAATTTTTTTTGTTATAAAATTCTCAACGTATCCCCAAAAATGTGTATATATATGGGTACACAAAAAAAATTTACATTCTCATGCAACATGCAAATCCATATATATGGGTATACTATTTTAAATTATTTAGAATATTATATATATAAATATATATATATATATATGTGTGTGTGTGTGTGATTGGTGTAGAACACTGGTTACACAGTTAATGATCCAGCTTCTTCCTTGTTACATTATATATCCTTTATTGCATATACCAAATACATAACACAGTGTTTTCCCCAATCAAAAGAAATACATTTTCCTTTCCACCTTAAAATATATAAAGATTGGGATCGAGTCCAACAAAGGTAGGGTTGTCAAGTGTCTAAAAGCTTTGAAGAGAACACATAAGATAACACAGTTTGGCAGAAACTTTGTGGACTTTTACGATTGAATGTATATATTTAAAGGGTTTTTATTTGCCTTTTTCTTTGCATCAGCTAGCACCACAAGAACTTGCTGCTCATATTGCAATCAAATGGACCCTTTGAATTAACATATCTCCTTGTCCCACATTTATATGCATAAATATTTCCATCTATCTATCTATCTAAGCAGAAATTCATGTGGCCGAGAGGTATATAAAGCCTGCTCAATAGTCCCCACATTCCTCCTAACATTAAAAGCTGAAAACACTACTCTTTTATTAATCCTCTTTTATGTTATTTCAAGATATAAAAGAAAAAAAAAGAAAGAAAGAAAAGAAAACTCATTGAGCATCTCTTATCCTATATTATTGATAAATAATTTTCCAAAAGATTAGTCAGTATCCGCTGATGTTTCTTTTTTTTTTTCTCAGCTCCTTTTTTGGTTTCTAACTCTTAAATGTTTTAATCAACTCGTACGTGCACATAGTTAGGCAAGATTCAATATCTAAGACTCCGCAAGCTCAATTACTTTTACCATTTTTTTTTAAAAAAAAATTGGAGATGGCGCGCTGCTCAATTGGTTATGAAGTTACGCTGAATTCGAATGGTTGAAGAGTAATCCAAAGTGAACTTAATTTGCCCTAAAACTCCTGAATGGGTGCATGCCCAAATTTTAGACTAATTAGTGATTTACACCTTTTATTTGTTTTTTGTAAAATTTAATCTTTTTTTTAAAAAAAATCTGAGTTAGTGACTGATTTGTATGAGTTTTAATTTTTCTGTTTCTCAGTTGGAGCTAGTTTCAAAGAGTCCAAAAAAACAAAAAGGTCAATACATATTTAAAAGGGTATGTACTACGTTAATTAATGCAAGTCATTTTCAGGTGGAAAAATCCAGTTGAAAAATTGTGCCAAAAACAAAACCTAAGTAATCAATTTGTTTATATAATCATTACAAACAGACATCGGACATAGAACTACTGCAATAGTATTATTACAACCATATCGTACATCTACAATATTGTTGCATTCAAATCTTTAGGCAAGTGGAAATTAAACCAACTTAAAATTCCCATATACAAATTTAATTTAATAAATTAAGCCCTGGTTCAGATGAGGATAAATATGTATATCCAAACAAAAACTAAAAAGAAAAGCATACATAGATGGTTCATAAACAGGATTGGGACTGCGAGATAGAAGAAGGAGGGGGAGAAAGAGAGATCAATGTCAATGTAGGGTGAACAACAGACATAGGTTGGAAAAGTGCCAACAAATATTTAGGGACCATCAAGAAAAACCCTTAGAAGGTTGTGCTGAGAAAGACATTTCTCTAAATGAAAAGGGGTTGCTTTTGCAATCCTGGCAATCACACATTACAGCTCTCTAGTCCAAGTTTCTTATCCTCTCATATACAGCAGTCCTCAAAATCTTAAAGTATACTCCCTCTGTCCTAAAATTATTGTCCAGATTGAGATTTCACTTTTAGTACAATTTGTACTAAAAATGAAAATTCAAACTGGACAATAATTTTGGGACGGAGGGAGTATTTAGTTTAGCTGACTTAGTCCAATTAACCAAGTGACGAGGATCTAAAAAGTTATTAGATCAGTTCACGTTTAATTTAAACATTAATCTCACTTTGACAAATTTTATCAAGATGTGTAGTGAATATACAACTAAGACGATAATAATAATAATAATAATAATAATAATAATAATAATAATAATAATAATAATAATAATAATAATAATAATAATAAAATAAAAAAAATAGTAGGTCAATTTACGAGCTACGTGATTATTGGTTATGAGATAATCTCGCAATGCGGCCCTAATGATATTGTTATAAGCTGCGGGGGCTTCCCCCATGGATGTATAGCTACTTTCATAGCTTTCATTTTTATGCTTAGATGGGAGGGGAACCAACATTAATAATGAATCTCTACCCAAACCAACAAAAAGTTACTAAATCTTTTTAGTTTGGTTAAGGTTACAATTACACCGTTGAAAAGGAAGCAAAATAAGAATTCAAAATGTCGACTCCATCATTTTAATGATTATCTTTCCTTCTACCACTCATTTTCCTAGCTAGCTTGGATACATAATTGAAACTTTTAAGCGTTCAATGTACTAGAACTTCATTTTGTGGATCATCTTGATCAAGTAGCTATGGCTGGTTGCAAAAATGAAGGACAAGGAATCAGTGATCAGTCCATGTCCTTTGGTCACTAACCAGTGTTTCAAAAGAAACTTTTTCGGAGAAAAAAAATTGAAGTGAATCCCTAAGTGGAGCCATTGTAGGATTCGATCAATACCCGTGCGGACATGCAACATTATTAATCAAACACGGAGTACGGTCGGAAACTCGGGAAAGACCCACAAACCTTGAACATTTCTTGTACTACAACTATATACGTACGTACGTTGTAATAATCTCTACCTTAATTAACTTAGTCAACTTTAGCAAACAATAGGATCTTTGGACATCAAGGTTGGGACTTCGGATACACACTGGTATTGGTCAAGAGAACTAATTTATACCGCTCTCATCCAATTATAATAAGCTAGGTACTGATATATAGTAAGAATTCGGTATTATCAACACAAGATTATGATGCATACGTGTACTTAAAACTCAACTAGATTCGTAACTTTTTTAGATTTTTGACTGAACATGAACTGAAAACTAGCTGTACTTTGAAATAAGACACTTATTTGAGCTTCCTTATGACCTTGGTTAAAAATCAACCAATTTCACAAATTTTCTTTTTCCCCCCTTCTCCTCCGAAACAAAAGTTCACAAGCATATATTGGAAATCGAGTGTATGTATGAGGCAATTTACTTTAAGACCGATGTGGGCCTGGAATGTGATTCTTTTATACTGGACTAGCCGTGGTCTAAACGAGTTGGGCTTTAAAAAGACAAAAAAGTTCTTATGGAATCAATGCAACTTAAAAAATTTCTTGCCTTCACATTTATGTCAAGAAGATTGAATCACTTTCTCATAAATAAACTAAAAGGATACTCCATCCGTCCCAAAATAAGTGTCGTTTTGACAAAATTAAAAAAATTCTAAATAAGTTTTGTTTTCGGATTTCAATGCATTTACTGTCAAAAATTTCCAAACATACCCTCAAAAGAAATAATATAATTGGTAGCATTTATTTTAATGGGGTTGGTTGATGATATTTTAGTAATTTAGTTACCTTATATGTTTTCTTAAACTATGTGCAAACTCTAGAATGACACTTATTTTGAAACGGAGGGTGTATTTGTTAAGAAAACATATAATTTTATTGATTACAAAAAAAAGTAATATTAATTAACGAAAGTGTTTAAGATTTACCAAAAAGAATTCGCACGAACAAGCAACCGTGATTAACAAAATAATGAAACATAATAAAAATCTAGACAAATTTTTGGTCCTATCTATCAAATTCATTTTAAACCATGATGCAACACCGATAAGAATCTCGAAAGATCTCACTTGAAGAGAATTTTGACAAAAGTGAGTTATGTATTTATTGGCTTTTATTTATTTTTCAGAAGACAGATGACTTAAAACCCGAGCATTACGCTTCTGCTCAAAAGTTTCTGTACCATTAACATTCAGTAATTCCCAGCCATATTTTCCTTCTTCTTCCTCTTCTTCTTCTTATTTTTTTTTTTTTGGAGACAGTTAATTGTACTTGAAAATCCATTCAAATAGCTTCTTATTGTATCCACTAAAAGAATTTTGACACATGTATTCAACAAATGTTCCCACTCAGTAGTTTGTCATAAACAGTTAGAAAAAAATAAATGAATACAAAGAAATGGCTTGGGATCGGGAAATCTCAACTATTGAAGAAGGAAGCAACACCGTTTATACCCCAAGAAGTACAAATGAGAAGGCCACATTTTGTACTTCAGCAGAAGTGGTTTTAATCATTCAAAAGGTCTATATTCCCCGCATTCAAATTCGAAAATCCAGGGTTTTTTTTTTCTTTCTGTTTTTTGGTTGATGAAATTGGCTTACGCTTTTTTTTTTTTCCGGGTTTTCGATTAGGTGATTGCAGAAGCAATTGGGACATACTTCTTGATCTTTGTAGGGTGTGGTTCTGTAGCTGTAAATAAAATTTACGATGGTACAATAACATTTCCAGGTGTATGTATTGCTTGGGGTTTGATCGTTATGGTCATGGTCTACGCTGTTGGTCACATTTCTGGAGCACATTTCAATCCTGCTGTTACCATCACTTTTGCCATCTTTCGCCAATTTCCCTGGAAACAGGCAAGTTTTAATGGTGACGGTGTGCGACACTTTTCATGTTACATTTTATGAAAAACTCGTAATAACAATACATGTTTTTTTTTTTTTTGTGTTATACATATCAAATATTTCAACAGAAAGTGTAACATTAAAAGTATTACAGAAGATATCATTCTGAATCGATTTTACGATTAAGATCTAAATAAATGACAAACAATAATAAAAAATGAATAAAATTATACCGTGGAGCCAGCATTGTTTTTTTGCTATCAACTTTCCTTTTACTATGTTCTTGGCATTAACAGTTGGGTGAAACCAACATTTCAGGTTCCCATGTATATAGTGGCACAATTAATTGGTTCAGTTCTCGCAAGTGGCACCTTATACGTCGTATTGGAGGTCAAGGCCGAAGCTTTTTTTGGGACAACACCAACGGGCTCAAATGTTCAATCTCTGGTCATTGAATTCGTCGTCTCTTTCCTACTAATGTTCGTCATTTCTGGTGTTGCCACAGATAACAGATCAGTAAGTAATTTTGCACTCTATTTTACAAATCCATTTCCCCACTTTTTTTTTTTCAAATAGTAATATTAATCTTGATTGAGTTTCCTTTCTTCTTCTATCTCAGATTGGTGAATTAGCTGGGATTGCAATTGGGATGACAATACTTATAAATGTCATCGTCGCTGGGTATTACACAAATTCTTAAACTCGATTCTAATTCAACAGTATCGTGATTGAATGATTTCGTCCGCAAGAACATTGTGTTGCTTAGTGCAACTTTCAGTAATTTTATTCATGGGCAGGCCTGTGTCGGGTGCTTCAATGAATCCAGCAAGGAGTATTGGGCCAGCTATAATTATGCACCGGTATAAAGGACTGTGGATCTACATAATTGGGCCTGTTTTGGGCACCATAGCTGGCGGTTTCACCTAACAACTTAATCAGGTTTACAGATAAACCCCTACAGGAATTAACAAAAAGTGCAACCTTAACCAAAAGTGCTACCTTCATCAAAAGCCTTTCTAGAACCCGGAATTAGTACTAACATAAGCAGAATTAATGCGTCATTTTGTCATTGCTTCAATCATCTTAGCCCGGTTGCTGAAGGGAAACAGCCAGAGGCTTGCCGGAGATGAGGGAATATTGTGCCGTGTAAAAGACTCTATCGTCGGAATATATTATTTTAGAGAATTACAGTTATCTCTACAGTCCTTACCGGCTTATTGCACTGCTTTTAAGCTTGTAGTGAATGAATATAAGAGTTGGTCCTTGTGTATATATGGTGACAAACTGACAATCAAGTAGAATTTGATTGTGTTGGTGTATATACTATGTATCAACATCAAGAATTAAAGAGCATATGAAATCCAAGTGCGGGACTTTTTTTCGACTATTTCAAACTCCTTCCATTTTGAAATTATTGTTCAGTTTTACTACAAATTGAACTAATAGTGAAAATCTGAACTAGACAATAATTTTGGATAGAGTGATCAATATGTGTCTATGCACAAGAAATGTGACTACTCCAATTTGAGGTTGTGAAAATTGTACGAAGGAATTAATACACCATTCCGGTAAATAAATCGTGGATTTATGAATTTTTTTTTTTTTTTTTTTACTCCTATAAAGGGCTTATTAGAGCTACAGGCAGTGGCGGATATAAAGTGGGGACACTGGGGGCACGTGCCTTCACTGGATTGGGCCTCTCTTTGAGTATAATTAATTTTGATGCTTAATAAATAGTCTGATTAAGAGGATAATTTTCAGAACGGGAGTATCTTTAAAGATTAAAAGTGGCCCGCGGCTAACCCATGTATTTATATAATTTTTGGGTTTGTAAAAGCTCAATAGTTATATAATTTGAGGTTCAATCAATAAACGTTAATTTATTTATATCAGAATACCTTAATAAACTAAATTAAAAGCTATTATAGATAAATAATTATTTTAAGTTGCGTTGTAAATTACAATTATATTTGAAACTTGTCAAAAAAAAAAATAATCAAAAGACTATCAAAATTAGGCGTATGTACCTCTTTTATGATATGGTTGCCTTAAGATTTTTTTTTTTTTTTGTTTTTCGTCAAAAACAATAATCATTAAATTAAAAAAATAAACAAATTGCAAGGGTTTAAAAAACCCCACAGCTATTAAGCTACAACAATTGTCTTATAATTCTTGACTTTGATCTTCTTCCTATGTATTTTTCCACATTTTTTTTAATTTGTACATAGTTGATAGTATTAATGTGCCCCCACTAAAATATTTTTCTAGCTCCGCCACTGGGTACAGGTTGTGATATATAATGGTTTCCTAATTTATGTGCTCTATATTTCAAAATGATTACTGTTAAAATTATATTTAGAATCCAACCTATGTGTGAGATTAGGAAATGTGGATGAAACTTGCACATAAACCAATATCATAATTTTCTTTCTTTTCTAAAATCAACAGCACCCACTTTAATTGGAATTGATTAGATCATGAACACCAATCTAGAAATTAATTCACCATAGATGCTGTTTAGGATCCACTTCCATCACCCTAACGTAAAATTATACCCCTCCATTGTAAGGGGGGGAAAAAAAACATTTTACTGGTGGAACAAAATTAACAAATGGCCAGGGGTAAGTCTCCAAATGTAAAAGGACAAAAGAAAGTAACATGGATGGCTAGTTTATAAAGTAGTGAATATCAAATGGTCTATGGTCTTCCTTAAAATAACATATATTCTAGTTTGCCTGACTCTACGGGGATCAGAGATGGATATGTAGTGTAGCGGCGAGAATTAAGAGTGCAGCAGGATGTTTGTGTTTTAATTGATGTAATGCTAGCTGTGGAATGGAAACCCATGAATCTATCTCTCTTTTTTTTTACCAAAAAAGAATACGATCAGCAAACACATGGAATCACATGAATTTGATCCAATTAAACTATGCTTCTCACATGGCCTTGGCATGTGTGAATATGTAATACTTACTATATATTGCCAGTATTTGTACGTTCCCTCGAGGATGTGATGTCCTCTTGCCTGGAAGTTTCTATAGATCATCAAACACTTCAAATTTTGTGTACTTGCTTGGTTTCCAATTTGTCCCAAAATTATTACTATATCATATTTGTTACACTGACAATTTTAAAATAAAGAAGAGTAAATTGATTTTTTTTTCGATACAAATGCATAAGGTTGTAGTTAGGTGGAAAAATTATAATAGTGTAAAAAAAGAAATTCTTGAGGTCACGTTTTTTTTTTCCCGACTAAATGGTGGGAATGAAAATAATAATAATAATAATAATAACAAAAGATAATGGTTTAGTATTTGTTAATCCAACTTTTCAATTTTGCCTTCAAGGTAGGAATATTATGGCACATATAATTTGGATTTTATTTTTTTTCCCTCTTTCTTTTCCCGTAATAGATCTACTAATACATTGACATTTGTGATCGATCTTGTTATCTTCAAGGTACTATGAAGCAGGACCACAAAGTTAAATTTTTTCACCAAGCACCAGTCGGTTTGGACCATTTTAGGGATCCAACAAACCTAATTGGATATCCAATGAATCAAAGCAAAGCCAGATCCAATGTCCAAATAATCTCTCGGCGGAGGAAATCCCACTACATGGCGTTACAAGCCTCGAGATCTCACTCCGAGACGGCGGTAAAGGGTGGTGACAGCCTCCATAGAATTATTATTATTATATATAAATATATTACAGTTTACATAAATGATTAAATGTTTGTATTTAATGAGACAAGAGCATGTTCTTTAATTTTGTATAGCAATTTTTGACATTTGGTTTTGGTGTATGGATTATTCGGGCCAAGTACCATATGATATGTTCCCTTCCCATATTACGTGTTGTTGGGGTTTTTGTTGTCAAGCCATTATCGTTTGCTTGGATCATACGAAATGGAGAGGGAGCTCAGACATAGAGGAGGAGGAACTCAATTCCATGCACAGGAGAGATCAATTATTTAGAAGGCACCCCTCCATGGATCAGATTTTTTATTGATATGCAAAGAACAAATGAAGAAGACAAGGATTTACTCTTTTTAAGTTTTAACCAACCATCACGGGCCTCTCTATATATATAGTAATGATATTTTACTCTACTAATTTAATTTTACTAGTTAGTAACTCTACTTACATGTCAATCTAGTTGGTTTATCAACATTACCAAAAGATTTTTACATTCATAGACGATGTCAATGCCATTATATTCTTTTTCGACACCTAAACATTCCTCCCTCCGTCCCACAATTATTGTCCAGTTTGGATTTTTATTAGTTCAAATTGTACTAAAAATGAAATCTCAAACTGGACAATAATTTTAGGACAGAGAGAGTATAATTTTCATATTAAACAATACTCCCCCCGTCCCATAATTATTGTCTAATTTTACTAAAATGAAAGATTTTATTTTTTGTCAAACTTTACTATATTTTACCTTAAACAACCGGATATACCCCTATATAAGTAATTGTTTAACCACTAAGATTTTATGAATAATGTTTTTTACTAAGAACAAATGTGTAACTTGATCCATAAAAAATTAAATTGGACAATAATTTTGGGACAAAATTTTTTTGGGCAAAGTGAACAATAATTATGGGACGGAAGGAGTACTATTTTTTTAATTAATATGAATGTAACATTAGAGACTCCCGGCCAAGTATCTAGTCTTGATTATTGATAAAGTAACGTTTGTAATTCACACTATAGTGTGTGAATGGTGTTGTTTCTACTTTGGTACTGTTTATAATTCACAATGGCGATTTTTTTTTTTTACAGAGGAAATAACTTTTTTGCCCCTCACTTTGGTAAATTAGATATCATTAATGAACACAAATTAGACAAAAATTACAATAACAATGGTCAACTTAAATCATGAATTGATTATGGATACATGCGATGAAGTAGGAAATGGCGTAGACAAAGGGCCCCCAACAAATGAATGGCTCAGATTCCCAATCAGCAGAAGCAGACAAAAAGCTGTTTATGCATGAAATTCGTACACTCAAGAAAAAAAGCAGATCATGATTCCACGCCGTTACCAATCTCAGGATTAATTATTAATTAACACCCACCTCTTTAATATAATCCCATAATTCAGTCACTACAAATAATAAATAATCCAAATTCTCCGAATAACATTTGAAAAAAAAAAAACGCACACACACAGTGACGCAGTAGACTAGCGCAATCGGTTTATGAAACACTCATTTTAACTACCACGGTTTTTGTTGTAATGTTTCATCTTCATCTTGACAACACCACAAATTGAAATCAAAACCACTCTCTCCCTTTCACTCTGACTTCTCTTTCAAAAGTCCCATCTTGAAAGCAAAGAACACATCTTTGTCCACATCTTCACCACATTTATTTCTCTTTTCGATTCATTCCAAAGAAACCCATTCAAGCATTGTCCCTGTCTTTCCCTATTTCCCTTCACTTCAAGTCTGTCTGTTGTTTAAGGTTGTTGATTTTTGTGCTTAACGTTTATGGTACTCTCGGGATAAATTTTCTCTTTTGGGTTTTTGTCTTTTGGTGGGTCATGTTCATAATCGCATGATTTACAGATGAATTAAGCTCACTGTGTTAAAAATTACGAAAGTGGAAAAATGGCGGGTGATATTCAAGAACCGTTCAGGCTTAGTTTTCAGGTAAGTTTGCTTTTGCCTGTGATCTCCTTCTCTGCTTATGCTTTTTTGGAAGGTTTTTTGGGTGGAGGGGTTTTGGAGAAGGCAATTATTTATTTGGTTTGTTCAAAATGATATGATGATCTTCTCATGTCTTCTTCTCCTCCTTTTCCATGTTCTGCTTTGTGGCCTTATGTAGTCTGGAGGTAGATTTTGCTTATCAGTGGCTGATCCTGTGATTGATCATGGTTCTGTTAGAATGTGAGTGTATTTTCTTGAGTTCATCTGTGGTAATTGATTACAGATCACCGTTTTATTAGATGAAGAGAAGAATATAATCAATTCTTCTGCTAGTTATATGCTGCCAATTATGGGTATCCTGACATCCAACTGGAAGTTGAGGGCGCAATCAATAATATCTGTAGTCTTTTTTGATATTATTGAAGCTCATATTTTAATCAAGACTCGACTTTTCATGTATTTCTCAGCAGGGGTTCTCTCTGTTTCACTGTTAATTACATTTCCTTGGTACTTGATTGAGAAGTCTAGGTTTATATAATTAAGTGCTGAAATCTAGTAACTCCATTCGAATACTCTATAGTCCCCATGGAATTTGGATGATACTAATCAGATTCAGTTGATATGATTCTTAAGTTTGTCCAGTTCTTAGTAATGGCTCCAGTGTGTTCTCTGCTGGTGGTTTAGTTAGACTCTTGTTGTGGGGAATTGCATATTAAATTTGCTGATTTGCATTTCCAGTTAATAGATCCTTTTCATTTTTAGACCTATCATAATTCCCTTTTTGGTGAGTCTTGTGATGATGGTGTGTGATGGAATGATGCATCAGCTGAATCATATCGTAAACTAAGGAGTGTTGTTACTTTTGTAGAACATCTACATTGATAGATATTGAAATGCATCATGAAAACTGTATACTGTTCTCGTAGAGAACTACACATTCGTCAAACTGGTTACTGGAAAATTTACTGAACAGAAGGGGGTGTAAAACTAATCTTTTGATGTGGACAGGGTGATTTTTTACACTCTGGTTCCATCTCATTTGGAAGATTTGAAACTGAAGCTCTATGTTGGGAAAGGAGGTCATCCTTCTCCCACAACCGTTACCTTGAGGAAGTTGAAAGATGCTCAAAACCAGGTTCAGTTACTGCAAAGAAAGCATATTTCGAGGCACATTTTAAGAGGAAGGCACTTTTGAGCCAAAATTCGCTGGATTCCCAGAGCAGAATTGACTCTCCAACCAGAGAAAATGAGAACTTGCAGGACACATCCGAAGTGGCCATTAAGCATGCTAATCAGGATAGTCCAGGCTATGAAGAGAACTTTGCTCAGTCAATCTCTGATCAGTCTGAAGTGACTGAATATGGATTGCATTATTCAGAATGCATTGAGCCAGAGATTGGAGATACGTATGACAGCTGTAGCAATGAAGAGATCATTGTTAATGACAATGTAAGCGAAGACGAACCATCTGAAGCTAGGAGAGGTGATTCATCTCAGGGCAATTTTGAAACGGAATATTCAGCAACACAGAACCTTGATACTTACAGTGAAGCTTCAACTTCCGATTCGTCACTGAAACCTAGCAATTGGGTGCCTGTTACTGCTTCAACTGATATGGGAGATTGCTTGAATGATGGACCTGTTTCTTCTCCCAAGGTTCGTCTGCTCTTTTTATTGTTGATTTGATTTAGTGCTTGTGATCCACTCTTATGCTAGCTAAAGTTTTATTAGGAGTTATAAATTTGAGAATTGATATTTTGTATCATTAGATTGCATCCATGTCTTTTGTTAAAGAGCCTTCACTGCCTTAAATGTGGATTGATTTGCTTGATCTTTGAGGGGTTGGTTCCTTGGTTCAATGTTTTTCCTTGACCCATAAGAGTAAAAATTCTGTTCACTAATGAATTCAAATCTTTGACATCTAGTTGAAGATTAGGTCGCATATGAAACTCGAGAACTCCAAGTCTGAGACACCTCAGCCTAGCATTGTTAAGGGAAAGAAAAGCATATCAAGTGAACCTTCCTTTACAGCAAAAACCGCGAATAGGCAGATTCATACATCATCAAGATCTAGAAAGGAAAAGCCGGTACCTGTTTCTTCAACTTCAACTTCGCAATCTATACCCAAATCAATGAAAATTGTGGTAATTTTCAGTGCAGCTGTCCAAAAATTTTTGGTCCTTCAACGTGGCCTTAGTTATTTTTGTACAAAACTTCCCCCATTTGCCTATTTCAACAGACTTCTGTTGATGCCTGATTCACATTCCCTCTTCTTTTTTATAGGCTTCTAAAAGTTCCAAGACAAAGGTTAATGAAAGCAGAAGGTACCCAGTAGTTCGATGATTTTGATTTCTTTTTTGATTCAGGACTTGTGCCTTTTTACTGCTTGCTATCTTACAAATGCTTCAATTTTAGCTCTGGCCTTGCGAAAGAATCTACATCCAGAATAACTGCCAATTCTAGGCCATCTACTTCAGAAAAGGTTGCATCAAGACTACAACAAAATGCGAACAGGTATCTCTATAACAAATTTGCAAATGTTTAATCCTTTGCCTGTCTGCCTCTTTTAGTTACTCCAACTATTTTAATACCTTACAGGGACATGCGGGCTGGGAATTCAGCAAAGCCAAGATTGAAACAAAATGGATCAGCCATCAGTTTCAGAAGTGACGAACGTGCTGAGAGGAGAAAGGAGGTTTGAATGCTTTTGCCAGTTGAAACCTTTTCCTTTTCCCCTCTATTGTTGTTGTTAAGATTGTTGATGTCCAATATCAATATCCTTTTCAGTTTAACACCAAGTTGGAGGAGAAAATGCTTGCCAAAGAGACAGAGGCACAACAAGTAAAAGCTAAAAAGCAGGTAATAAGCTGGTTAGTGGTATAAAGATTTTGTCTCTCCAGTCTTTACAGTTTCCACGTCTCTCCAACATTCCACTAGATACAAGCTTTTGATGAGACGCATAGCAGTTACCCCTTCCCATAAGCTCATCATAACCTTCTCTTCCCAAATTGAAGCAAAGCCTAAAGCTAAATTTTATGTTATCACCTTTTTCTCCTTGCTTTTTCCTGCATCATTTTCCATCTTAAGAAGATAGTTCCTTGTGATTCTCAAATTTTTAATGCATGAAGGTTTACGTATTTATCTTATATTGTTACAGGAAAAGACAGAAGCAGAGATTAAGCAGTTTCGGAAGAGCCTAAACTTTAAAGCAACACCAATGCCTTCATTTTATACCGAAGCTGGACATTCGTTAGATAAAAGCAAGGTAGTTGATCATTTACTGCAGTCCCCCTTCACTAAATGCTTGTTTCCAGCTCACTCTCACTTGCTCGTTTGAATTCTAAGGCTACAAGGTTTCACATTTAGTGAGCTAGTTTCTCCTTTCCCTGTCACTGGCACTAAAAAATTGTTTTTCTTTCATCTTTTCTGTTTTACGCTCCATCCACTGCCTCTGTTTTCCCTTGCATCTATTTTGCTCTTGAAATGATATAAACTTGAAGGACAACTAACGTGTAGTTACTACTTCATTAATGTTTTCAGGCTGTAGCTAGTAAAGGTAAAACAGCCAAAGTTCAAAGCAAGCCATCAAGGTCATCTATCACAGGATCTTCTGAAAGACCTTTATCTTCTCAGTCTGTGGGAAGTCACGGAGCACGTTTTCCTACAGTATCTGCAAACACAAAATCACTACAAATATCTGGGGAAACCAGCCATCCATCAGCAGACAGTAGTAAAAGCCATGCAAATATTTTAGTACTTAGAGATGCAGACAGTAATAGCCATCAAACCCAAGCTGCACTTCATAAGGCACTGGCTGGGAAGAAAAAACACGATGAAGTCAAGGATTCAGTGTTGCAAAATGATAGAGTGCAAGAAAGTGCTGAATTGAACAAGGGCAAGAAAATTGAAAGGAACACCAAAGTTGGAGCTGAAAGAAAAAGGGGTGTGATGAGGAAGGACATTAAGGGCATTGGCCTGCGCCACAGTTCAAGAATGGCTAATGTAGCTGTTGGCGTTGCCTCTTGAAGAAGTAATGAGCTTTCACTACGTCTTTGTGCTGCCATATAGGGACTTTAAGCATCTGTGACGGTAAGTTCCTCTCATGTTGGTTGGAAGAAAAATTCAAATGAAGCAGGCAGTGGATACATCATAGATCATGCTGACACCTCTCACTTATTAAGGTTTACATTTTCTGTTCATCAACATATTGTAAATTATAGCCTGGATAAACTATTGTTAAACCAAAGAGTATCATCCTAGAAAATTAAGAATCCATCATAAACTTCTTAGGGAGTTTAGTTTCATTGAATATTTGCCGAAGCATTTCCTGTGCTACTCGAGCAATAGTACTAGCAAGAACATGTTATGAGTTAACCGTAGTGCTGTGAGCTTGAGTCAGTAAGCTCAAAGAAAGAGTCAGTAACCGGTAGTTTTTAAGTACTCTCGATGTTTTAAAATGATTGTTCTACGTATTAATTAATTTTAGTACAAGAAACCGTATAATTATTTTGGGATGAAAGGAATAATATTGTATCAGTAATTTAATTTGTGAATTCTGACAAAAGATGCCTCCAATATGAAGTAATTCCAGCTTCAAGGTTGTAATGATGAGATCAAATTTGGTCTGAATCAGTCATTCCAACACTCAACAACCTGAGAGAAAATGATGTTATTGCCAAAATCTTGTTTCATCATCAAAGACTTCGATGATAAAAGCTCCACGTGTTACTGTTACAGTTCATTTTAGATGACCTCATTGCCGCTTGGGTTGTGCATATGGGCCTGAAAACACATGTACTATCTTACATCAGTTCAACACCCCAAGCCCACATTAAAAAAATTTACTTTCACATTAAATGTTGAAATTTTGTATCTTAAAATTTTCTTATCTTCCGTTCCAAAATTAAGTTATTATAGTATCCTAAGTTCCTAATAATAATTTTCCATTGGAGAAAGAGAAAGGGAATACCAAAACACAAATTTATTCATAAAACAAAGGCCTGAAAAGGTCAACAACTGTTGATTAATTGGTATCCCCTTAACCACTTGATAGCATTCCACTAAAAAGCGTCATTATTTGCGCACCTAATTATTCCTCAATATTCTTTGTTCATCATCAACCTCTTTTTAGAACCACACCATTTCTTAGAACAGTCTTTCCTTATAAATTATTTTATGCTTTTGTGAGTTTGGTGTATTTGGTGAATATGTAGGCAATCATGAGAATCGAACGTAGCCAAATGTTAAGGACAACTTCCATAGCAGATCTAAATTTGTGTAAAAATTGGTGCTTATTTTATGTCATTTATTAATATTATTATGCTTCTTTTTCAGACAAGATGTATCTACACGTTACCAAACCTATAGACGGATTCAAGAAATTGAGACCATCAACGTCGTTTTCATGCCTTTCATCGTCAACATTAATTTCTGATCATAATTTGTAACTATAAAAAAAAAAAAAACAGTAAATCCCTTTCATGAAAGGAAAAACACTAAAGTCTTGGCTATGCTTTTTCTTTGTAACACCAAATATAATAATTTTACTCAATTTCATAACCAAAAAAAAAAGAAAAACAAAGAAACAAAGCCTGATAACAAATTTGCTAGCTAGCTAGCTACCTTAGTTCTCATATATTTATAGCATCTAAAAAACTTTAATTACATCAAAATTTGAAGAGGAGAAATTCAATATAAGCTAAAAACAAGAAAAGGGATGGTGAAGAAGATGGTCATGGTTTTTGATATTGCTCCAGTTAATGATGATGATGATGATGATGATAATTGGTCAGCATGAGGTGGTTTTCTGTAGTAATAAGGAAACCATGGTAACATCGGCTCCGGCGGCGGCGGTGCTATACCTGATGAAAAACCATCCCCAGATGGCGGAGTATAAACCGGAACAACTCCAGCCGGCGGGCCGTAGAAAGCCGGAGGAGAATACGTCGCTCCTCCTGCTGCTCCTCCGGCCGGTGGCGCTGGTGGCGTGGTCGTTACCGGCTGGTTGGTGTTTCCGGGACCGGTAGGCGGCGGGTAACACGGATACGGGCAGTCCTGAGCGGAGGAACTTACCGGAAAGTGAAGAATTGTGAAGAAAAACAAGAGGGTTGAGAAAGTGAAGAATTGTTTTTGGTGGGTTGATGATGATGATGCCATGTTGTGGAGAAAGAGAAGTTTTTTTTTTTTTTTTAAAAAAAGAAGGATTTTGTTTATAGAGTTATAAAGAAGAAAAAGAAACTTGGAAAGGGTAGTAGTTGGATTGAGGAGTGGAGAGAGTAATTTGGGATGAATTGAGGTCTAAGGAAAGGTATTGTGGAAATGCTCTGTATAGTATAAGCAATTGACGTGGACTTTGTAATGACTAGTTTGATGTAAATAGGCTAACGAAAACTGTAGACCTAAGTCAGCAAGATAAGGAAAAATCTTGAATTTGAAAGGTACCTTCGGAAATTAAAAGTAGACACACGATTTTTATATCAAATTAATATCAAAAAAAAAATGAGGTACTAGGAAGTTGGAATATAGTATGGATCGTAGTCCACTTTTTTTGAACGTCTTTTTCTAGACAAGGTGTAACAATTGTCCTACCATTTGCATTATTTATTGGCTCTAGGTAGGAGGATCGGCCGATTAGGTAACACCCCTCTTAACTCGAGGAAAATTCACCCAACCTTCCTGGCTCCAAATGAATGAATTATTCCTTTTATTCTCAATATATTCATATAATATACTCTCCCCGTCCCATAATTATTGTCCAGTTTGGGTTTTCATTTTTAGTTCAAATTGTATTAAAAGTGAAATCTCAAATTAAACAATAATTTTGGGACAGAGGGAGTATGTATAATTACGGCATTTGTCTGTGTGTATTTGGGACCATCGATTAATCATTTATTTCATCTTTCTTACTTTCATTATTCGGTCTTCATTTTTCTTCTTTTTTTTTTTTTTAAGAAAAAACTTTTTGGAAACAGCTTTAGTATAATGTTGTACATTAGATGTACACTCTTTTTAGGTGAAAAGAAAGATTAACAATGGTGTACTCATCCATTGATTCGAACGTTGATTAGGAACTAGTTTGACGATAGGCAGAGTGAAGATAATGTACGAAGGATTAGAGGCTGCTGCATTATGATTTTGCTTTTGCCTATTTATTCCCAGCAACCTTTTTGGGAATTTTTACGCAGAATGACTCCAATTTTGGTCGTGGGGGGCGCCAATTTCTTGGCAGCGAGCAAAGACGTACGTGATTTTTCAATCCCACCATGTTCAAAGACTCAAAATTGTTTTGTATACTTTTTTTTTCCTTTCCAAAACTATTATTATGTTTGAATTTTTAGTTTTAATATAATTTTAAAAAATCAAAATTTAAACAAGACAATCATTTTAAGACATAGAGTAACCAAATATGCAATAAGAACTTGTGCAATTTACTACTATTTCCTTATGATTAATAAACAATTGCCGAAGTAACGATATTACCGGATTCACAATTTAACCTGCATCAATGATTTTTTTTAAAAAAACAACTACAGACAGCATTAAATGTTTTGGCTTGCATTTGGTCCTAAATGTTCAAGTCTCTTTGGGTAGAATATGAGAGGTCCAATCTTAGTTTCTAGAAAATAAAAGACTACTGAGCAAATGAAAAAGACTAACAAAATCGTGTTCTAACTACGGTCTAATTTCATCCGCCGCAGTCAAAAAACATTGAAGCCCTCTTCGACTCTTTCCTGCAAGATTCGCCATGTTGTCACCAAAAATGCAAAACTAACTTCCTTGTAAGCATGTTTCTAGACAACATTGCAATTCCTCCATGGCACAGCTGAGATAGTTTATTGCTTTTGCTATGTAATGGTCCTAAAATTAAGCCTTAATCTAGATTAATAAATTTAACTGTTTTATCAGGTGGTATTGACAAAGGTGTTTTTTAACGTATGATAAAAAACAAGAATGAAAGAGAAAAAATTTATATATATATATAAATATATATAATTGGTGAAGCTTAAAAAAACACATTTTATTTATATGCTGGGGAAGCTTAGAAAAAAATGAAAGAGTAAAACATTAAATGAGAGCTGGAGGCCCAAGAATGAAAGAAAAACCATCAAAGAAATGTAAACCCAAATCTAGCCCAATAAATTGCGTCCCGTTTTTATTGATGTTTACAGACACTTACTCACCCACAGTCTTAAGGAAGTCCCCCAAAAAAAGTACAATACACATATGCATTTGTCAAAAATAAATACTCCATCTGATTAATATATAAGACATTTTTTAAATTTTTGATCTTATATTCCTATTTATAAAGTATTTGATATTTTTTAAAATTTTATTAATTTTTAATACGGATAAATCTTATTCAATTTTAACCTTATTTAAGTTGGCTAAAGTTTAATTTGATTGTGTCTATATTTGTGGCTAGGAAGTGTGAGGAACTTTGTAACATGGATAGTATAAGTATTTTACTAATAAAAATTTACTATAACTAGTTTCATTGATTCCTAAAATTGATTATTTATATCTTATATTAAGGATCAAAAAGAGTGCTTTTTCCTATTTACAAAAAGAGTAGTGATAGAACGAATAAAAATTTATAGTGACTGATGTGTACGTAATATTTTAGAATAGAAATACAATTTTTTTCGTAAAAAATTTAATTTTTGTGGAAAGTGCCAACAAAATATGAGATTCATAATACCAATTGAACCAAAAAAAAAAAAAAAGGAAGAAAACAAAAAGTTACACATTAATCACTATACATGTTCACTATGTACTTTCCTTAATCCTATCATTTTTTTTTGTAAAATAGTAAGGAAAATCTGGCTAAAAAACAGTAAAACATGTCAAATTAATTAAAAGGGTATGATCTTAAAATATTTTTTTTTTTATGAAGAGTGATAATATATTCATCAAAAATCACAAAATTAATATAACTCTATAATGACACCATTACCCTTATTTTCTTTATACCCTCGTCCTTTATCTCAACATGATGACATCTCACTCAACCATTTTTGAATGTCTCCTCTAACAATTTTAATATTCTCACCCGTTTCTCCAAACAACAAAGAACAGTCCATACTCTTAGTATTCCTCTGTATTTTGTTGTATTCAATCCTACAATTAATAATTCTCTTCTATGAGACTTTGACAGACTTTTCTATCAAATTGACAGTAGGCAAAATTGGTAAAGTCGGAAGAAATCATGCAAAAAAGCTCAAAACTTCAAGAATTGACCTTCTTGGCCCAACATTTTTTGAAATCTTACACATAGGAGCAATTCTCGAATAAAGTTGGGGTCTTGAAATGAACCAACAAACAAATTGCTCCCCTCATTTGACTTTCCACATATGAACTTTGGCAAATTTTGAAAGCTAACATCTTGGGACAAAACATACTTGAAGAAAGACAATAAATCATCCGGTCAACATTATGTTCCTATGAGAAGGGCGGAAGAGGTTTTGACATTTGGGATTTACACTACTCTTCATTTTAGTTATCTATTTTTTCAAAGAAATTACAAGGGTAGTATTGTCAATTTAAGATATTTTTTATTTTATAATTTTTGACAACTCAATTACTGTCTTTCATAAAAAAATATTTTAAAGTAATACTCCTTTTATTAATTTGACATATTCCACTGCCCTTTAGCATAATTTTCCCAAAAAGTAATGCTTTATATCATGAACATTTTGATGTAATGCTCTCTTTGTCACACAAAGACAAATCACATTAAAATTTACGATTTTTTCTTAAAAAAAATACAATTTAAAAATTATAATGGAATTATTTTCTCTGAGATAGAAAAATATATAAATTTTTTGTCTTTTTGTTTTTTTTAACATACCCATCAATAGCCAGGTAAAATTGTCATCCTTTCGTGTCGGAAAAACAATTAATTTGAATTTTGAGATTTGTACTAAAAATAGTGCAAAATTTCAAAATCCTATTTGGATTAAAAAAAAAAAATTGATTCAGGGAATATATCAAGTATCAACCTTAACTCGAAACTTCAGCATGGTGTCCATACGGGAAGTCAAACCTGAAGAGTCCGAATCTAACCCAAACCTTAATAGATCGGGCTACTTGAAAGTTAAGCTACTGCCTTTCTATTATTGTAAAATTACCTATTATTAATAAACCTACTCTAATTAGGAATCGCTATATCTATGTAATTTATCCCTATATAAAGGGGTGGTCTCTCCCTTATTTGGGATAAGTTGTATCTAGGTAACATGATAATAATATTATCTCTATTTTTATACTCTTTCTAAACGCTAATTCTTGCTTAACAACTGTCTTAAAGCACGATTTTGACTTCGTCAAGATCTTATATTATTCATGTTAAAGATTTTTTTGGCAAAGTAGATAAAAGAACAAAGCTGATTTTCTTTATAAAAAAAATAGAACGTTCGTGGTATGAAAGATCACGTTTTTTTTATAACTATTAAAAACATTTATGTTGACAAATGTAGAAGACTAATAGATACCTTGTTCAAAAGAAAATAATTCAATCAAACTATTTCTTCAGCCTTCAAATATAGATCGAATCGGGCTTACTGATTTGCGGACCGCTTATTTGCACAGTCTCGTAATGTGTCTCATAATTGAGATCTGCGCCAATCGGATTTTTCCATTTTTCATTTGTATCTTTTTTTCTACGGCATTATTTTCATGTTTACAATTACTTGGAATTTCCTAGATATAGCATATAAATTAGTGTGATTGTGAGCTTTTTTTTTTTTCTTGTTTCTTTTTTCCTTCCATTTTCTCGTCAATTGAGTAGCTGTTCGAGCATGCGGTACAATTATAACTCCCCCTCCCCCTCCATAACACTGTCCACATATCCACATAGATTTCATTTGGTGTTGCTTTTGGCATCATTCATGTTTCAACATAACTATAACAAAAAGAACTAAACAACTTGTAGTTTCATCTTTGCACAACCGATTTAAGAAACCATCACTACAAGTTTATAAAACAAAATACAGAATATATAGAGAAAAAAACAAAACAAAAAATATATCAGTCTAAATCCAATTCTTTCTCACATTCAAGATCATCTACTTTGTGTCCAAGATTTCAAATCACTAAGCTCATACTTGGAATCAAATGATCACAAGTCAACCTCAAACCAGATAAAGGGATAATGTGAATGTTCCAAATAAAATACATTTCTTGTTTAGCTAAAATGGGGTACTCTAACATTGTTAATTTTAGTACTCTTTTTATTATATATTAATACATGTGCTTCTATCAATAATCATATACACCCAAGAACCAGAGACACAATAATCAACTTTTTATACTTCTAAAGGCACTGTGAGTTTAATAAAAAACTGAAGGATAGTGATTCTTGTAGTGAAATTTTACAGGAAATTTTAACAGGAATGGAATCACAACCGTCCATATTTATACTTTCATATTAGGGTTTCATCCATGTAAGGGTTAGGGGATAGTAAAGATTTAGATATTTCATTCCTTATAAATTTTCTTGTCAAATTTTCCCTACATGTATCACCATTCGAGACTGAACCATAGTCAGAATCTTCAAGTTAAGAAAATCACTTAGGGCATGGTTGTGTTGCACCAAATGAAAAAATGAAGCTCATGGAGGATAATGTTATATTCCGAATTTTCTCATGTACAAATGAGAGGAGAAAGGAGAAGCCGCAGTTAGAAATGATTAAAACAACAAGCATCAAAGTGAAGCAGCATATCTAAGATCTCAACTAATAATGACAAGAGTTCAAGCAAACTAGCTTATTTTCATTCTGTTTTTCCATATGAAATGAACAAAACGGAAATAGTCAAAGCAAAGAACCAAAATGTGGTCATCAAACTTTGTTAATTTTAGTAATTCTTTTACTATATATGAATATTCCAACAAAACAAAATGTAAGAATTGCAAACATATTAATTTAAGTTGCAGCAAAAATATGAACAACGTAGTACCTCAGTCGTCATGGGGATTGTCAAACTCAACAATAAGACTTTGAATATCAGTGATAGTTCTAGCCTCTTTATCCTTATCACCATTAGAATCTTAATCTTTATGGCCTGCCAAATAGGATATTTCATCACTTATTCAAATTGCCATGGAGCGTACAAATAGAAATGAGTAAACATTTTGTATTACATTCTGATGCTTTGAGCCAACCAATCTTGGAAATCCGAGCCTCGACATTTTGGACAATATGGAACTTCGAAACTTACTAATAACTCTACCCCCATGACTAATGAAGACTTCAAAGCTACCTTGGTTAGAAGAATGCTTGATATGTATTTTGTCATGAGGGATAGTTTATTGATTTTAACACTGTTTGACTTATAATACTCAAAAATGTTTAACTTATGTTTCCTTCACAAATTTGTTTCATCCAAGTAAAGATCAAGCTAGGAATTTTTTTTTTACACATTCCCTTGCAAATTTTCATACTCTTCAAAGGCCTACAGTTTAAAATAACTAGAATCATCATCATTATATATATATATATATATATATATATGTCTTAAAATTTTTTAAAGAAAAACTCAGTACCAGGGTAAAGAAATAACATCAAAAGTGCAAAAAAGTTAAGTAACAGATCAACAACATCCGCATCTTGATTGCCACACCCTATTATCATGTCTTGAGATGCGAAAAGGGATGCACTATCTATATAGCTTTTGTATTCATCAAACAACAACCTCAATTTAGCTTGAACATCATTATATTTGCTTATGCCATGATAACCAAACGATGGATTCACTTAATTAGTCTTATACTAGTGTCCAATGTAATAGCTACATTAAAGATAACACTATACCATTCCAATACTTGTCAAATGACTCATGGATAAAGGTTATCATATCATGGATAACTGGGTCTTCACTTTCGGTATATTTTTCATCAGCATTTGTATATTGAAATATTAGAAACGAGAGATTTGTTGTTAGATAAAATGGTCTAGAAAATAGAAGTGATTTGATGAAAGGTTTTAGCATTGATGCAATTCTTTCAAGTATGCCCCATTCATCTTTAGTGGGATAAAAGGTGTACAGATTTTTTTTTCCAAAATTACTAAATTAGATATTATAAAGTTTGATAATCTTATTGCGAATTTTCTAAAAGTACCCGAAAAATAATACTATGAGCTACACTTTTTTAATTTACCACCACGCCATTTGGATGATTAACTTCATTTGGAGTAACAACTGTTGTTGCATGCTAAAAAAATTCCAAATCACCTTCATTTCGTATCATGCAAAAGCAGTTTATCTCCATCACATCTGAGACTTTCACAATACTGCAAAACGTACTCTTCGTATCCGAAATGTTTCGTACTCCCTTTAGCATATCTTGTATTTCGTTTGCAATTGACACAGCTAATGAACAATCTTTAGTCAATTTCTTTTTGCCAAGTCTTTTTAAGTGTTTTCTCAACTTCAAAAGTGATCGCAATCTTACCTTCAATCACCCGTTCCATTGAATGTAATTTCAACTTGCCGGCAAACAAAAACTTGAGAGATCCTCCCAATCCTTCCAAACTTGCAACTAGCAGGATAATTTTATCAAGTGTGAATCCCCAAATTTCAAGTGTGAATTCCCAAATTTCAGCCGTGCGGACAGATAAAAGTAAAATAAATCCAATACCAATAAGTGTTTTCTCCTCTAACATCTTTTTCCGGATTTAGTACAATTTTAAATTAAAAACACATATATAAACTGGCCGAGATCAAGTGTTGGCCTCCCAATCCCTCTAACATCTCCTCTAATATCTCACATTGGATTTAGTACAATTTTAAATTAAAAACACATATATAAACTGGCCGCATTACTAATCCTTTACCCTTTTCGCAAAGGAAGGAAGGAGGAGTCGTGGTAAGTACTAGTAAACTTGCCAATCCTCTCACAACATTCCTGTAATCTACTTGTGTGTTTTGATCATGTTAAGAGGCAGATGAACACGGGAGATTGCGCTGAATGGATAAAAGAAGATGCAGTACGGACAAAAGTGGCAATTTACGGTGTACAAGGAAGATGAAGTACTGAAATCCCAGGATCGATTGATCCATAGAGACTATACATACAGAAATTAAAACCCACAAGATCGAAACTTGTGCTTAGTTGTTACTGGTAATTAATACTACTCCATAAAACCATAGAACAAGTTAAGAAGGAAACTAAACACTAATTAAGCAGTACAAGTAACACAGGTGCATCCAGGGCCGCATTTGCAGTGGGTCTTGCCGGTGCCGGAGATATTGGAGCCCTGATCACAGGTGCACGGGTTGCAGCCGCAGTGCTCCCCGCAGGTGCACTTCTTGTGTTCTCCACTCTGTTCTTCTCCTGACTTTGCTCCTCCTCCCATTCCTCCACTTGCACACCTGCATCAATGAACTTTTTCCTTGTCAGAATTTTTGGCAAAAGAGAAAAAAGTTAGAAGGGTACAAGCAGTTCAATTCATAAACACATCCATTTTGACCTGCAAGAAACGCCACCAGGGCATGGAACAGGGCAGCCACAGCCTGAATCACAGATTACACCACTCGGCTTCATTCTTGTTTCTGCTGACTTGTTTTTCTTTTCTCTTCCTTTTTTGGATGGTCTTTCTGTTTTTCTTGCTTTTGAATCGACCATGGTGAATTTATAGAGGAGTTGAAACGATCTGATCAAAAAAGCCAGGTGGGTTGAAAAGAGGACACATGTTTGCAAATTTGGCAAAAAACCAAGTACACATGGCTTCAAATCTTGATGCATGCTCTGCATTTTTTTTTTTCTTTTTTGCTGATTTGCATTGCACGTGGCGGTGGAGCAATGATTTTCTCATCCACATTTCTATTTCTTACGGGTTGAATCTGATCAACTGAAGAGTGAAGACTAAGTCTATCCCCCTTTGCTAGATTTGTCTAAACTCCCTCTCGAACAATCCAGCCTCTTGTTCTCTGTTCACTACTTTTGCAATCTCTGTACTAATCCAGAAGCTCCTGGAAATTAACCCGTCAAGGGAAAAGAAATCATAGCCCAAGTTGGAATTGCTCATGTTCCAAGCAGTATGATCGCATATGATATGATTAATCGAGAGAACTACTTGTACCCAATTCTGGCCAAAATGGTGCATTACATATCAAACATAAAGATTTTGAGGCTGAGGGGTGCTTTTACAAAAATCCATATCAGGGGTGGCTAAAACTTGCTATTGAGATTCAAATGACACGTTCCATTTCAATGATCTGTTGTGTAGATGGAAATCATAAATTTTCTTAGATATCCACAGGATTTCCCATCCTGAATCTGGAGATTCTAATACAACACCTCTAATGACCAAACGTAAAGATTTTGAGAAATAAAGAATATATTGGAGCTTCAAAAAACAATGGCATGTCTATGGAAATGCTTTGAGATGATACGAAACCAATCTAAAGCTTTTGACTATTCCCTTTTACACACGGACAAAACCTCGAACACCTTTCGTGCACCCAAACACACACACACACACACACAAAATTCTGACAAATGATTTACATTACCTTCAAATGCATATAAAAAATATAATTTGCGAAGGAGGATTAATCAATTACAATACACTGAAAAAGATCTTTTGATATCAAAATAATCAAAGATTGCAGAAATTCAAATTAGAAAAAGAACAAGTGGCATCAGCCGAAAAATATTGGCAGTAAAAAGTATTAGGGGTTAGAACAGTCTTTTAGCAAACCAGCAGTGTGCCCCAAAGTTTCGGACTAGCCATTCTTCCCCCAACTTGTATTAGTGAAAAAGACCAAAATACCACCGGATTGGAAATATGAGTGAGAGAGAGAGACATAATAGCAATCGGCATATTCACCATTTCTCATAGGGTTTAAGGGCTAAAACCCTCATTCTCTTTTGCTGTCATCTCCTCCACTTTCTCGCCATAAGTTTCTGTTTGGGACTGCTATAACTCCGTCTTGATTCTGGAATTGCCTCGGGAGCTGCCGATTTAACATCAATTTTGTGGGCTTCACCAAAAGCAAGTAAGACCTAAAAATCCCATCTTTTTCTTCTATTATTTGCAAGGATCATCGAATATATTTGCTGAGAATAGTAATGAATCGATAAATAGTTCCTTTTGGGGGTTTTATTTTTTTTCTGGAATGCATCGATCATTTGTGTTATTTAGTCGGAGAGTGGTCACAAAGACATCACTTTTTCACCCCAGAGCCAACACTTTTTTGGTCACTGAGTTAAGGGATAGGAGCCAAAGAAGTAATAATGTCTTTGCTTCATTTAGAATGTTTGTGTCCACATACGCACAGAATAGGCGTGTTCCGGACCCGAATGACCCGGCCACCTTGATGAGGGAAGATGGTGTTTCAGTTTGTTGTCAAATGTGGATTGAAAACTTCCGGGAACCAGATAGAACTGTGAATAATGTGAGTGATTATTTGAGGAGGTTTGAGTTGTGGGTGCTGGCTTATCAAAAGGTTGCTGCCGATGACACTGGGTCATATGTGCCGCGTAATTCCATCACCAGGTCTACCCTAGAGGATTTATTAGCTTTAAGAAATGCGGTTCTGGATAATAGGTTTAAGTGGGGAGCTAGGTTAGATTTTTTCATCAAGTCCCCTAGAGATAAGACTGATTATGCATCGCTGTCGAGGAGAAAGATTAGAGCTATAATGACAACAACACAGCCAACTCCATTTCAAGATAGGATCGTTCATGAAGTTTTGTTCATGATATTAGAGCCTATTTATGAAGCTCGCTTTTCCGACAAGTCGTATGCATTTAGGCCTGGGAGGACTGCACACACGGCGCTACGTGTCATCAGGAGAAGTTTTGCTGGTTATTTGTGGTATATAAAGGGGGATTTGAGTACTGTCTTGGATGGGATGAATGTTGGATTTGTTTTAAGCACTTTGATGAGAGATGTTAGAGATAAGAAAGTGATCGATTTGATAAAATCAGCTTTGACCACTCCTGTTATTACTACTAAGTTTGAAGAACCAAAGAAAAAGACAAAGAGGAAGTATCAGAAGAAGAGAGTGCTAGCAGATGATGAGCCAAAACCTGATCCTTATTGGCTGGATTCCTTTTTCGGGTTTGCACCTGAAGAGTCGGAAAAAGTTCCTTCATGGGGTCATTGTGGTATCCTTAGTCCTCTTTTGGCTAATATTTGTCTTGATGAGTTGGATCGCTGGATGGAAGGTAAGATAAAGGAGTTCTATCGGCCTTCCAAAAGTGATGTTATTTGGAATAGTCCAGAAGGTGACGTTGAGCAGGGGAATACATCCTGGCCTGAATTTGTCCCTACAAGTGGCCCAGATAAGACAAGGAAGATTGATTACATCCGTTTCGGAGGCCATATTTTGATTGGTGTTAGGGGACCTAGAGCGGATGCTGCCACACTACGAAAGCAGCTGATTGAGTTTGTTGATGAAAAATTCAAGCTCAAACTTGACAATGAAAGCCTTCCAATTGAGCATATAACTAAAGGTATTATGTTCCTTGGTCATGTCTTATGTCGACGAGTCGTGTACCCAACTCTTCGATACACTGCTACTGGGGGGAAGATCATAAGTGAGAAGGGTGTCGGAACTCTGTTATCAGTTACTGCCAGCTTGAAACACTGCATCAAGCAGTTTAGAAAGCTTAGCTTTCTCAAGGGAGATAGAGATCCTGATCCACAACCTTGTTTTAGAATGTTTCATGCCACTCAAGCTCATACCAATGCTCAGATGAATAAGTTATTGTCCACATTGGTCGAGTGGTATAGATATGCTGACAACAGAAAGAAAATTGTCAACTTCTGCTCATATATCATTAGGGGCTCTCTTGCTAAGCTTTATGCTGCGAAGTATAAGCTACGATCGCGGGCAAAAGTCTACAAAATTGGTTCCAGGAATCTAAGTCGCCCATTGAAAGAAAGAAAGGGGCAATCTCCCGAGTATCATAATTTACTCAGAATGGGCCTTACAGAATCGATTGATGGGCTTCAGTATACGAGGATGTCTCTTGTGCCTGAGACAGATTATTCACCTTTTCCAGTTGGTTGGCGGCCTGATCATGAGAAGGCATTGCTTGAATTTATAATGCTTGATAACTCAAAAACATTAGATGAGCAACGGAGATGCCTTAGAGAACAGGGTCTTATCTCGCCACAGGATTTTATTTCTATGCTTGTCTGGAATTACAAGCGAAATGTTATTCCAGTAGATCAGCTTTCATCCTTGAATACCCAACCAGGACCAAAACTTCTCTGCAGCTCAAATGAGGATAGGAAAGAACAAAAAGATGAGAGCGAAGAAGACAGTGAAGATAGGATGGATGCTGCTGAAGTTTAAGAAGACCTTGAAATTTGTTCGCTCGAGGTATCGGTCACTTTCTTTGATGCACAAAATTTCTCATTGGCGGATAGATGGATTGTGTTCCAATGTTGAACAGTTAGATAATGTTTTTATGCCAGAATATGGAATTGTATTCCGTTGTTGCATATATTTTCACTTGGATATCCAGAAATCTTGATATATAAGTCATCTTCTCATACATATATGTAACCTTTACACAGAAAATTTAACTTGAACCCTTTGGCTGTCTGTTTCCCATAAATTTTCTGCTTACAGTGTTTATAGCTCTTTTGTAAAGCTAACTTCCTTAAATGGAAGGGAAAAATGACCAGTGGAAGTGTATGTCACCCCAGTATTTGTACGTGTACAGCTATAGCTGTGGCTTGCATCTTCTCACAAATTATCATATAAACTCTAAACTAACCATACGTTCTGCTATTTCATAGTCGTTTTACCTCATTCTTTATCTTATATTGAAGGGTCAAGATATTAATGAATCTACAAGTTGTCTGTGTTTTAAATGTTACTCCAGACTGGTGTCTTCTGTGTTTTTGCTGTATGGGATGTGTGCGTTTGTGTGAGCGCTGGCATGCTTAACTGCTTACTATTTGCATTCTCTGAACTGTATGAATTACAACCTGAAGTATTTGCATTGATGGTTTGAGAAATGGTTATCTGTGGGATCAAATAGTTATAATATCGTTATTTTCTGCTTGGTGATTCTTTTTTGAAAGTTTTGTTCTTGAGGTTATGGTGTCAACCATATCTACTTGAAACATTTGGATTTGGAAAATGGCATCCGCAATTTGATTGTTGTTGCAGCAGGTCTGATCTCTCTCCCCAGTGTACTATCCTGGTTCTGGTTGCAAATGAGCTTTCTTTGCGAAAATATGCGGATGTACAATACCAGGATGGCCATTTTCAGTTTTTGGTCGATAGCTAAACGCTCGTTAGATTGGAACATGGATGGCCGGCACATATGGAATGGCCGAAGCTGATCTCTCCACAACATTCCCAGGTTGCGGATAATTTTCATCAGGTACGAAGTAGGCATTTGTGCAAATATTTTAATAGCTACTTAGTTCCAAGTTTTTTGCAACATAACTAATTGCTGGATGGAGTTCAACTGTTACATTTGTGATAGTCATCTATATATCTCACTAGATTCCTTTCTCTAGGATTCATCAACTCGTTTTAAGACGAGAAGAATGAGACTGCCTTAAATTGGTCTTCCTCGAATGATGCCAAGTAGAGGCCAGTTGAGGAAGCCGGAATCTCCGTTTATGCTGGGAAGCTAAATCATATTCAGCTGCGAATGTACCAGGGCGATTCAGGGTAACTTCCAATGTGTATACGTACTATTAATGGATTATAAATTTCATTGATGGCTTATTTTTGTTCTTTCGAGTTTGGACGTTGCCCAGTAATGCCTGTCAAAATTAAGTGAAAATTGGTGACTTTACTTCACGGACAGGATGTCAAAATCACCACGCAATAAGATAGTAGTAGTTTTTTTTTTTTTTTTTTTTTTTTTGTGGAGTCCGCAATAAACAGTTACTAGTAAAAGAGAAAACTCATTGCTTCGAATTTGAGACTAATCTCAATTCGAAGTAGGTAAACCTTTTTTGAAAAATAGAACTGTCTGAGTAAGTAATAAGTATTAGTATAAGTTGAATGCTTCCATAATTTTAGTTAGTGCTCGAGATATAATGAGTATATATAAATAACACTATAGCAGCAGAAAACGAGAAGACGATAATGAAAGGAGCGTGCTTCTTCTTCCACATGGCAGCATATTTCTTTGTCAGTCTTCATCTTCTTCTTCATGATTCATGAAGGATTGAAAACATGTTAAAATCAAATGGGTCCTTTCATGTGAGTACTAAATAGAAACCCGTTTACTAGTAAAAAAAAAATGCAACTTGCAACCTCCAATTTGTTCCGCATCAAATCAAAAAATAGTGACATTTTATTGTTTCCTTTGTCTATCTTACTAGCCTTCCTAAGCCTATACAAAAATGCATGGTGCCTACTAGAAAGATGATATAGATTTGGTGGTTCAACCAACTTACTTCCGTCTTTAATATAAGACATTCTGATTTATTCTAAGTTTCACATAGTACGTATTTTTAATTGACAAAAAAAAAACTTTAAAAATATTTTATAACAATCAAGAGAACATAACGAATATGAAAATATATTTTTAATGTTTTTTTGCCAATTAAAAATGTGTATTTAGTGAAATTTAGGACAAATCAAGATATTTTTTATTAAGGACCAGAGAGAGTACTTAGGAATCCGCTAAAAAAAAAATTACTTAAGATTAATGTCAAATCGAAGACACTTTAACCCACTCTTATTGAGACAGATTAGCAGATGAGTCATAGTCACCATTTATAAAGGTTGGAGGAAAGGGATAAACAAATTACAAATGGTGGGTTATGTGGGGAAGAGGACGGAGGATGAAGCAAATGAGAGGAAAGTCAAAAGCTTGGGGGATGAAAATGGAGATTATGGGTCCTAGTTTGGTTCCCTTCCCTATGTTGATTTCTACCTTACTTTTTTAGTTACTGACAATTCCCTGACATAAAAAATCTATTGATAGAAGAAGATTCTTGATGCCATCGATAGTTAAAAATGGATTTTTCTTTTTTCTTTTCTTAACGGAAATTGATTTCTGAACCATCAATTCATGTATCTGGATAAACTGTTAGATCCATTCATCTAAATCCAATATAAATATAATTGTTCTACCAAACAACATTTTTACAAACAAAGGCACTGTTTAGAAGTAATTGTCCGAATTGTGTGTTTGCTACGTTAGTTAGAATTTTCGACTATAACGAAGTTAATGTCAAAGTTTAAGGAATAAATAAATAAATAAATAAAAAATCCCTCTCATGCACATGTTGGATAGTACAAAATTGTGCCCACAGGCGGCTATGGAACAAACGTATCTTGACTTATTCACATTCGTCATTGTCCTAAAATAACTTAAAACCGGTGTAAATTTTTATAGTCCCTCTTTTTAAATTTTTAATTTTAATTTTTTTTGAAAGAATATATTGTGTACTAAAAATTGACTGAAAAGGGACAATTTACCTAATGAAGAACGTTAAACCAGACCCAAAGGAGCGCACATGATAGGACTAACACGTCATATTTGAGCAACACTCCTATGGACGGTGACGTACCCAACTTTATCATAAAACTTCTATGCTTTTATTTCAAAAGGAAAAAAAAAAAAGAAAAGGAAAAAACTTCTATACTTTTGGGTTTATGGCTGCCTTCATCTTCTTCTTCTCTTCTTTTCTTCTCTTTTGTTGCTTTCTTCCTTTTTTTTCCCCTTTCAATAACGACACTAAATGTATTTTGTGAGAATTCAAATTCTTAATCTCTGAAATGAATGCATAAAGCACAACCGTGATACTGAATACGATCGGGTTCAATTCAATTAAGAATCCAAATTCCAAAAGGAGGAACTTGAGAATAACGTTGATTAATATTCATAACCTATCATAGTGCTCTACAAAATATATTGCCGTTACCCAAGGAAGGATGGAACCAGAATTTGGTAGACCTAGCATATTCTTTTATAGTCAAAATTTTATTCGTAGTTTCAATTATTGATGATCATAAACGGCTAGCTGTCACAGTTGTGTGTGAATTAAGGCTGCTCGATTATATTGGTATGGTGTGATGCAAGAAAACGTGCACTACTTTGAGAGCGTTTCCAATCTAACTTTTCAATTCCATTCATATTCCCTTTCTTGACTAACACATAATACACTCTCATATTCGACTTCAACAATCGCATATTTTTACTTACATTGCTTTCAACAACCACATTTTAGATGACTAACGCTACCTGAAATAGTACGAGATAATTCTAAACGAATTCATTAAAACTAGACAGTCTCTTGCGGACACTATAAAATGCAACATGAAAGTTTATAGGAATAGGAAACTTTAAGAACGGAAACAAGTAGAAGAAATTATAAATTATATAAGTAGTGCGACATTATTAGGCCCTTATATAGTGCATGCTAATTAACAAATAATGGTGCGTTTGACAGCTCCCTAATATACATAGTGGACCCAAAAAGGGGAAAGGAGCTTTCTATTAAGAAGAAGACAACCAGCTGGTGGATAACCCGTAGCTTTCATTTAATCACACTTCAAATTTTTTCTTCTGATCACTAAATTCATATCTCAAAAGCTAGCCAACACCTATTTTTCCCTTTTACAATTTTTAATAATTATTTTGAAATCGAAAAAATTAAAAAAAAAAAAGAAAGAAAAGAAACTGATCACTTTGATTGGCTTCTACTCCAATATTCATCGACACCCACACATACTCTCCGAGGCACAAAAAGAACGAAAAAGGAACCAAAAAAATGCCAAAACAATTGCATATATTATAATTAACAACATTAACAGGAAGAAAAAATCATTTATTAATTCTTATTAATTAGTCAATGGTTTTGTAACTTTTCTAACATTTTTTTGATGAAGAAGAACAAAGGGAGAAAACTTTAGAACAATAATAATAATAGCCTAGTTAATTGAAAAAGGATCAGAATTTGTTTGTCATCCACATAAAAATTTCTTGCCTTTGGAATCCGAATCATCTTCTTCCTGCCCTGCCCATATCTTCAACTTCAAGTGGGAATTTCCAAAATTTCTACAGAGAAACTAAAATTCACCTTTTATACTGCTAGCTGAAGTATGCTAAGGACGATGAACAAGGCGGTCAACCCGACGGTGGCTGATGAGCTCCGGCCAGCTTTGCCGTAATCATGATCCACCGGATACACATCGCCCGGTGGACCCGTTATGTATATGTACTGAGACGGCGGAGTAGGCGGAAAGGGTACGATGGAGCCAGGCGGAGGTGGACAGTACGATGTCGGCGGCTTCTTGGGTGGCGGTGGCGGAGACGGCGGCGGCGGCGGCGGTGGAGAAGTGTAGCAAGGGCTGTTGCATGGACAACCTCCGCACTTGTTTTCGCCCACATCTCCGGTGCCCGGAAGTTGGGCTTGGATCATACTTGGAGTAATCACCAAACCCAAAAGCAAGAAAATAGCTACAGCCGGCCGGTTGAACATATCTCCGGTTTTACTGTGTGTGTGCGTGTTTTTTTTTTAGGACTATTTAATTTATTTAACTGAGCTATATGTGTGTGGAGTGAGTCAGAGAGAAAAAGAGAGTGGAGAAGAAATGGAGAAATGAGATAAAATGATGATTGACTGATGAAGAGAAGACTTAAAAAAAAACAAAGAGAGGAGAAATTTTGGTTACGTTTTCTTTTAGGTGCATGAAAGTCACCAAAACGGACTCAAAGAAAAAAAGAATAAGGTTTGTTATGGTTTAGGAATTGGAAAGCAAAACTATAGGATTGTGATATGATCACACAACGAAATGTGGGAGTGTTTGGTACATATATTGGCTTAATCTACAAGGAAATTTCATTGCATGTGGATGGTCCACTTTAACCACATAGACCTATATTGGCACATTATATTGCAACCCAAAAAAAATAAGCAAAATCTTTCACTTTTTTATTTTCTTATTAGTTATTACTCCATCTGTCCCAAAATTATTATCTAGTTTCATATTTCACTTTTAGAATAATTTGAATTAAAAATTAAAATCTCAATTAGAGAATAATTATAGGACGGAAGGAGTACTATTCTTTAGGGAGGCTGTACTATGAATTTTTCATTTATGTATTACTATCAATAATTATGAACTTTTCGTGATATATGGTTTAGTAATTAAATGCAGTACGTAAGAAAGGGTCAAGTGAGATGTTGAAGGAAATTGTAACCAGCCATGAAATTGGAAGGATCCTACATGTAGAATTAGGAATTAGACAAAGATGAAAGATTAAATTAAATTTTTTTTTTCATATTTGCGAGGGTCGACAATAATAACTAATTCCATTCATTGAATTATCGGCACATTAAATTAGGTTTTTTAGAATCGGAATTCTTATGAAGTTTTTTCTTTAAGAACATTTTTTTTCCCCTCTAAAAACTTTAAACTCAAATTAAGACAAAAGGCCATTTGTGATAATTTGTGTACCAGAGAATGGGCTCATCAGACTTCATTGATGGGTTTTTTTTTTTCCTCTATATTTTTTGTTTTTCATAATAATTTTCCGTCGTAAATAAAGCCAAGCAGTCAACTTCATGTTTCGCAGTTATATGTATGTCGTCGGTAGGAATCTAAATATTGATTATTATTAGAAAAACAAAATTGTTCAAAAAAATAATTTTCTATTCAAGTTGACAATACTTCTTCATTCAGTCTCAAAAAAGAATTATATATTGTGTTAGTTCAATAAACAATATTTTTCTTCTTTTTTTTCTCTTCCCTTTTAAGTCGGACGAGTAACTATTTACAGATAACAAATTTTAGCTCCAGTATCAACACTTTAAAAATCTGTAGATTGTGGTAAAGTACCTTTCTCTTCAAAATAGTTCATAAAGAAAAAAAATACTCCATCTGTCCCAAAATTATTATTCAGTTTAAAATTTCACTTTTAGTACAGTTTGAAGTATAATTAAAAATCCAAACTGGACAATAATCATGGGACGGAGGGAGTACCATACAGCCTACTTTTCCAGTCAAAGAACCAAGAACAATTCTAATCGAACTCATTCTTCTTTTTATCCATCCATAGTTCAAATTATGAACTACTGGACAGGCATTACTTGTGAATTAACAATTGACCAAAAAAAAAAAAAAGTAAAAACTTAAGCTAAGGAACTGTGTATTCCTTGCAAGGGCAATAAAGTCAGCTGTTCGTGAAGGATGCATGGAATATTTAGACAGCCTATCATTTTCTTTTCCTTTTATTGTCTTTTTTGTTCTTGTTTAAAATAGTTTTAACTTTTAATTTTTCTCCCTTTTGAAGGAATTAGACAGCTTATCAATTGCTTTTAACTTCACCTCCTTCTTCTTTTTTAAATAATAAAAAATAAAAAAAGAAGGGGAATTAGACAGCCAATCATTGGTAATAAGAATCGACTTTACACACCATGTTTCTTCTGCATTTTATCATTGACGCAATTCTCTCCATCTTCAAGTCGGGCTGCCCAATTTTTGGTGAAAGCCAAGCACATGCTCATTAACTTCATGATTGAAGTTTATTCGACATGTGGAATGATTTAGGCCTTCTTCACATCCCTCCCATCCCTCCCCCCCAATCCTGATGAGTGAAGATAGATGCGGTTTCCTAGGAAGCATTTCTGCAAGAAAATTGACTCTAGAGATGGACTACATTTAATAGTACGCCCTCACATCTTTTTCGCAAAGTTTTAATAACATTGCATTCCACATTAGGTTTCCATTTTACATACAGTACCTTACTACTACTATAATTCAATGCCGATATGTATTTAGTTTCAAGACTTACAATTATATGGATCATATGCCGTCGAAATATAGGCAGCACAAATTCAATTATCATTCTCTTCTAATTATTATAAATCATAAATTTGAATTGATTTTTAATGTTAGTTTGTGCTCTGTGATTTGGATTAGATTGGACTGTCTATTTGTAAGTGCGAAAATAGATGATTTCACATTATTGTTTCCATTTATGGGCCATACTTCACGGAAGGAGTAACAGAAACATATATACACCAAAACCAGGCCCAAAATTTATCAACTCTCAAATCCGTGATATATATATGTATACAAAGTCCAAATAACATATCTCGATTTTCATGTATCAACCATGTCTCACTAGCTTGCCGCATCAGTAATGACAACATAACAGTACACATGTTTATTTAAGCTCTAGCTGATGGTGCCAATCCAGCTCTTAAAGTTTCTCAATGTTGAACACCCACAACCATTTAAGGGTCTAAGCAACCTCAGGCATCCCCTGAGTCACAATCCAAAGCAAACGAGGTCTCTGTTATTGGTGAACCCTTGCTTGGTTTGTCTTTGGCTTTCCTCCAGCCATAGCTCATAGGAAACACTTCAGAGCACCCCTAAAAAAGAATCCACCCAATGATCAAGGTTTTTGCTTGTGCTGTTAAATTGCTGCTCCACATTGTAAAATCCCAGGACCTCTAAAACGCATAGGAGGATGAGCTCCACGCTTCATGATACATAGTAGAAGCAAATTTAGACATTTCTCCACTAGAGTACGGTTCTGTCACTAGATTTTGGAAAGAGTTCTGTCCATCTACATTAGAGAAATTTGACGAAGTCCCTGAGCAGTTGAAAGTAAAGGGTTCGTGAAACTGCTGGGATGAACCGTAGGCTGATTGAGGATAGCTGCACCATTCAGAAGTCTCAAAACTCTGAGCCATCTCAGAGAACAGGTTCTGTAACTCGTCCAAGCTGTACACCTTGTTCTGCATTGCACAAAATCTAAAGCTTAGAAACAACGTCAATCAATTCCATTTCTCGAAAGGCCACATCAATGAATGAACTCGCCAATTTATATTGAGTATTTCCTGTCCAAAGAACTGAAAAGAGAGATTCCTTTTGACATCATTTTTGAGCTAATTCCTCTTTTTCAAGTCCATCAATTCTTGTATATCAAAATTCATAAGGACGTGTCAACAGCAGAAGAAATTCAGCTACCATATATCAATTGGCTACGTATCACCAAAACTGATAACAAAACAAACTCATCAAGTGAATGAACATTTGTTATCCTCAATCCACATCCATCGCTCATTACTTATGTTGTACATATTGGAAAAGGGGGAGACATAATTACCTCTTCTCTGACATTCTCCATAAGAGACATCATTTCTTGCAGAAAATCGGAAAATCCCTGGAAAAAATGCAACCTCATTAGCAAACTGTTTACACCTTAGAAAAATTGAAGAGGAAAAGAAAAAAAAGGAGCTACAACACTTACTTCATCCTCTTCTTCATTAGGATCGAAAAGCCCTGTATCATACATTATCCTCTTTCTTTTATCTGATAATACTGTTCCATCCAAATATAAAGCACAAATCAGTACAAACAATTTCAAGAATGACATGATTAGAATAAAAGTTAGATGCACAATCACCAGAAAAACTCGAAAGCTGCAGTCTTGTACATTACCTGAGTATGCCTCTTGGATTTCTTGGAATTTTCGCTTAGCTTCACCCAGCAAGTAAGGGGTCTTCGTCCATCTATCTGGATGCCATTGCTGCAAAATGAGAACAGAACACACAAACATTAGGCCTAGGGTCACAGCCATCATGTCGAAGAAAACAATCCGCTATCTCAAACTAATGCTTCACTCAAAGACATAACCCAAGCGATGAAGAAACAACTTTTAAAAGGAGGGATCTTTCGCGCAGAAAATTCAACCAACAGGAAACTAAACCCAACCAATGAGTGACTACAACGACATAAAGCGTTTTCTCAACTCACCATTGCAAGCTTTCTATAAGCACGTCTAATTTCCTCCTCAGAGGCATTTTCACAAACACCAAGAATGCCATAATACGAGGCTTTCCCTTCTAAACCACCCCCCTCCATAGCTTCCCCGGACGCAAACACTAGAAATAAAACTCAACTGGGTTCTACAAAAATTTTCCCCTTTTCCCAGATTTAATAATCTTCAAAAATCCAGAGGAAAGTTATTTACTGCAAAGATACAATGATGGCTGTTCATATATAAATATGGAAAGTGTTCGGTGGCGGGAAGTCGGTTATGGTGGGCCCCAAGAGGACGAAAGTAGCAAAAATAGTGCTCCACGAAAAATATCTAATCTAAAAATGGAATGTTCATCAAAATATCTTCGATGACGATGATGATTCCAATGGAGATATATAATAGGGAGGCTTCCATGGGATTCTGGAACATTTTGATTTTGCCCAGGAAAAAAAGGCTGGTCTAGAAAGTTCAGGAATAGTTTTGTTTTTGGCCAACGTGGTTGAATAAGTGGCTCTTACTCTTCTTTAGTTCATAGATATTTTCTCCTCTTTTGCCTTTTTAAAAAATTAGTCCAATGCCACGCAGGCCACCAAGACCAACGATTTCTCGACACGTAGATGACTGCTCTTTATGCATGAGATATTATTACTAAACTTTGGGTTAAATTTCCTTAATGATTAAACCATGCCAGGTCGCATATACATTATGTGTGTAACACTAGAAGTGTCACGTAATTTGTTATCTCTAATTTAGACGAGTTTTATATAGAAAACCAATTGGTGTGATTATTTAGGTAGCTGCAATATGTCTATTAAATTACGGCTAAATTTAAAAAATGTCAATGACTCATATTCATTAATCACTCCATCTTGAAATGATTGTTTAATTTAGAATTTTACTTTAGTTCAAATTATACTAATATTTTTTTCTCAAATTGAATAATCATTTTATGGTCCATAACGCTAATTACGTTCACAAGGATTTGATGGAATAGAAAACAAATTTTGTTACAATCAAACCTATTTGATAATATATCCATGATTAAATTGTGATTTGATGTAATTAATTTGCAAGTATGGAATTCGATAATTATATGAACATGACAAGATTTGATCGACCTCGCATTATCTTATTATGATAGGCAAGTCTTGAACCGCTAGGATTCATTTTAGTGACAATTAACATGTGTACAGTAGTTAGATATATATAATATTTATTCCGACTAATTTAGATTCGAATCGAGTAAATTGTTTTAGTAAAACTCGTTAGACGACCTAAACTTATATTATTGGAAGTCTTGCTACAAGATGTGCGCAGCGAATTCCTTCGATTGTGTTAGAAAATTTGTTGTTTTTTTTTGGGTACCTTCGTGAATGAATTCGAGGAAAGGGGCAACCAATTCCAAGCCCTGCTTCGGTTTTCTTAAACAAATTCAAAAAAATAAAAATAAAAGTTGAAATATCATTGAATGATGCAAAAATAGGTAAAATTTACCCCTAAAGGCCTAAACAACTGCAAATGCAAAACATATGATTTCTCTTCCATTTTGAATGAGAGAAAACTTGCAGACGCTTTGATTCAAACTGATAACAAGACATAATTTATCAAAATTGTCACTCGATGCTAGTAGAGTTTGATACACATATATCGGCAGAGGACAGTTTGGCGAAGATGATACTGTTGAGAGTTCGATGAATTGTGTAATTAAGATCTATTAATAATCTAAAAAATATGTACATACGATTTCCTGAATCATGGCCTCCTCAGTATTGCATGAAGCAAATTAATAATAGTAACAGTAAATGTACTTCGAATAATGCTATCAATAACGCTGCTGGTTCCATACCGATTCCAATGAACTATAAATCATTCCACGGAAGTAACTCAAGCTGCAGAAACATGGACAAAATTCATAGCGCGCGACGGCAAAAAAAAAAAAAAAAAAATCCCCAAAATTATCTTTCATCAAAATATAAATGACGTTTCTACATTCTAATATTTGCTTTGAAATATAAATAACACATTTTCGTTGGTGGAAAACAGGTTTGGAACTGAAATTTATGTCATAACAGATTTGATGTATTTAAGTGTGTAGGTGTACTAGTAAGTTTGCTAACTATAGTTTGGTGTGACAAGTTGAATATGTGTGTTGTTTGTAAACATATTATTAATTGTTATCTTGTAATGAAATTGGATTTTTTTTCCCAAAAACAAAAAGAAAAGGAAAGAACTATTAGTAAGAGATTATACTCCCTCTGTCCCAAAATTACTGTTCATTTGGAAATTTCACTTTTAATATAATTTGAACTAAAAATGAAAATCAAAACTGAACAATAATTATAGGACGGAGGGAATATATGTTTATCACCTTTTGGCGTGAAACCGAAAGCAGGGAGCCGATGATGATAAGAATTGGAGATGATTCAAAGGTGCTGAATTCCATGCAAAGCCTTGGCAAGTAAGCAGTCTTCTTTGCGGGTTAAACCTCACATTCGTTGACTGTTCGACCTCAAAATTCACTAAGTCGTCAAGGTACGTACAATACCTGTGGTTTGGGTATTATTTAATTTCATTTTAGCTCTTTTTTGTTTATAAGTGAAAAGATGAAAGTAGTTTGGTTCGGTCTAAATTGTGTAAACCTAAGAATGTAATATAGGATTTCATTATACAAAATATAAAGAAAAAATGAAGCTAGACCTATTGGTTTCTTCTTCTTCTTCTTTTATGGGTTAATTGTTAACACACATGCACCATGAATGAATGTTATACATGAGAGCAGAAAACAAAAAGAGAAAAAGAAAATTTTTTTCAAAAAAAAAAAAACACTAAAAAGGGCTGATTCGTGATCATGCCCACATCTAACACCAATGCCACCAAATATTCATCAAGGTTTTTAAATTCCCTGATTAAATCCTTGCCACACAGAATAAGTCAGATTCCACATTTAATCTTCGCAAATAGTACCTACAACTTGGAATGCTAGTGTATCTTATATATGTATAGCCATTGACTTCTACCAATTCAACTTCAACAAGATACAAAACAACACGAATAAACTCACTTTAACTTATACCCTGCTGTGCTGTGCTGGACTTTCCAAATAGTTTCGAAGGAAAAAAGAATACTTGTAGGTAAAATAACTAACGGAAAGTCTTCAAATTTCATTTAACCAAAACCCTTTACAGGAGAAAAGGAAAGATTGAGAAATGATTTCACAAATGCCGAACCGACAATTTCCTACACCGGCGGTCGCGGCACTTCAGCAAAAAACAGTAGCTCATTTCAACATAAATTGGTGTAAGGTACCAAATTTTTGGATCACTAAAGTTTGACACTATAACAAGAACACTCCCCTAGTCTCAAACTATTTAAAGTCTGGTTGTTATACCAAAACAATACAATTAAAACGACTCTTATTTTTAGATGGAAGGAATATATTTGTTTTCCTTTTGTAAGAATCACAAAACCTTGGGATCAGAAACTATCTACTGTGAAACAAAAGAGAGTAGTCATTCCGTTGGAGAAGTCATGAAGTATTTTTTTTTTCTTTTTTTCTTTTCTTGTTAAGACAGCACTTTGGAGGTACTTAGGCTATAAATATTACTCCATCCCGAATTCAATCATATTCTTTGCCCGCGTTTAAATTCATTCGATGTGAATCTTGTAAAACCCTAGATTATGGAAGATGCCTGGAATATATAACAGTTGAAAAGTTTGACATATATGATCCTTAATCAGTCAAGCTACATATGTAACATGCCAATTAGTATTACTAAATGTTTTCTATTGATGAGAAAGCAGGAAAGAAAAATTCTTCACCAATCAAATTAAATTAAATCTTCAAACTTCCCTAAACTTCAGTCTTCAAATTAAGCAAGAAAACTCACACATCTTATAGGAACATACCACAATCATCAAAGCCTTTTCATATAAACCAAATCTAATTTATAACTAGGGTTTCAATTATGAGTTTTACCATGATGAACCCTTTAGTTCAAGGTCGAACAGACAACGAGAGAAAGGCGAACCGCGAAAGATTGCTTGCTTGTCAAGTTCAGCATGGAAACCAGGCACCATATTCTCCATAATTTTAATCACTATCTCAACCTGAATAAGCTCCTGAACATCCGATGTTTATCGCCTGGCATAAAAAAAAAAGGGAAAAAAATTCGTAAAGAAATAGAGCATCCCGCAAAAAGAACCTTTGAACTTTGCTAGACCTAATTGAAATATGAAGAATTCTATCCTTACCAGTGCTTTCCGGAAGATTGTAGCTAGGATTTTCTTTGGTTATACTTTTCAAACTCTGAGGATATGTTTTTTTTCTCTGGCAGCTTTGAAGTGGTTTTATAGGTAGAAAAGGGCATCATTACTTCATCAAACAAATCGCTATCTGTACTATGAGAGCCCTCAAGCCTGTCGCACGGCTACCTTTCCCACGTGAAAGGGTTTGAATTACCGGTAAATTATTAATTAAAGTTTGGACTTTGGATCATGTAAAAGTATTGATCAATAGACAATCTATGATGAATGGAATAGAAGTCCCCTAGATTTGGTGTTCGTTTGATTCAGTTCCCATCTTGAAAAAGTAATATTGAAGTCTAAAAAAAGAAAAAGACGAAGTAATATTGAATTATCCTTATCAACAACTTAATTATTCAATAAAAAATAACGGATATTCAAACCCTTGATCATTAGCTGTTGTACGTGATAACGAATAATTGATTATAATGCGCAAAAAAAATAAATGAACAACATGCACTTTCACGCACATCATCTACCTAACAGATTTTGCATAGTATGCGGTTTCAAAAAATTGGGTAAAAAGAGGAAAGTAGAAGGCCCCGAAAGTACAAAAGGGCTTAAACAAACAGGAATTAATTGGAAGTATCAGAGGGAGAGAGTCCAAAAAATGTTGATTGTCACAAAAGGAAAGGGAAAGAATGGGACAGCACTGCATAGTAACAAAAGATGGAGTTAGCTGCGCCTCGTGGCTAATGAAGTGCCTTGTATGCTTCAGTTTTTAATCTTTTGTGGTTCATTTCATTTTGTGTGTACCATGATGATCGATATCACCTGTCTTATCTCCCATCTAACACATTTGGAGAGTGAAACCTAGTCCATCCATCAACAAGCATTTTAACTAACAACAAGCATTCAGTGGTGTCAACTGATAAGGGGATTAAATAATAATCATCTAAGAAGAGTTTCACCGAAAAGGAATCTTTGGTGTAAAATTAAAATTAATTTGAGTATAAAACGTCATCGACAGGAAACCCTAATGCGATATAGTTAAAAAAAGGAAAAAAAAAAAGGAAAAAAGAAAACAGTTAACAACTTACATGATTTCCTGTCCAAGCTTCCATAAACAACAAAACCTGGAAACATTTTAAGTAATCAAGCAAGTGGACTCAGGACTGTACGACAAATAATTGGAACCAAACAGAATGTTTAATATGGCCAAAATTATTTCAGCATCACACAATTATTTTTTTTCATTTGGTATTACCTTTTTTACCCTACTAAAGAGAAATCGACTCTAACTACTTCGGTGCTTTGGTCCCATGAACTCTGTGTTGTTGGATATCTATTGAACAACGATGGAAGGGTGATCCAGGTCCAAATATTTCACCTACTATCTCCCTCTTATTTGGACGTTTCGATTGACCTAAAATCACGTTCATTAAAAGGTTTATACTTTAAAGCTTCACGTATGCAATTGTCTAGTGTAGTTGCCTTACCAACTTCGAAACTTTGGTACCTACCCGAAAATGGTTAACCTCCATTCTTGTAATTTTTAAACAAAAAACCGTAAGAAAATTCTAATATACAAATTATTTTCAAACAAATTTTCGCTTGATATATACGGCGAGTCATTTTAAGGACGAAAGTCTTCTAGCTACCAATTATTTGTACCTCAAGAACAAATTCAAACTCAAAACATTTTAAGGGAAAACGAGTTCCTTATCTCTACATCCTTGCATTGAATGATTCTATACATTTATCTGCTTTTCTTTTCAACAAATGTTACCTTTAATTATTATCATTATTATTTTTTGCATGCGTTGTAATCAAAGAGAAATACACTTTATCCAAATGGTAAATGTATTGAACCACTTTAACTATGACTCGGGATCAAACTCGGCCATAGGAATGCAACAATATTTAAAATATTTATGGGGAGAGATTTATCTCTTTAAAGAGACTTATCCAGGTCGAATCCGGATTAGTCGGAGTAATGAATTCGAATACTGGATACTCGCTCCGGTCCTTAATATAAGACATTTTGATTTGTCCTAAATTTCACCTAGTATGTATTTTTAATAGAAAAAAAATCTTAGCAATATTTTCTAATAATTAGAAGAACAAAACGAATGTAAAAATGTATTTTAAAATTTTTTTTAATTAAAAATACATATTAGGCGAAACATATGACAAAAAAAAAGTCTTATATTAACTACGGAGTGAGTACATGATAAACCAAAAAATACATGCTAAGCTGCTCGTTGAATGGTTAAAAAATTTCTGACCATTTAATAAAACTATCACCAATTACTACGTCAATCAATCAAATTGTTATTCTGTAATTGTCGATATAGTCCTTTTTTAATTTTTCTTTTTGTTGGCGACATCATCCGACTTTGACCGGCGGTTTAGCAATAGCACAAATATATAAGGCTATTATATTCTAAATCTGCCCTTTGTCGGTGGTATAGATTCAAAGTTTATTCATGAAGTATTAGACAGTTCATTGTAGCTAAAGGTGACTCACGTATGAGTCGAAATTTTTTTTGTAGCAGATCATTTAACATTACTAGCAATTCAAGTTTTGGGGATTTGTTTCTTTTGCATGGTCTTCGATTGACATTAAAATGTAGATAAAACATAATATAATAGGGTTGCTAACTCAAAAAATATTTTAGTGCTGTGTTCTTAAGCTTTGCTTCTTTCATTGTAAAAAAAAAAAAGAAATTTTTTTTATTAAAGTTACTCTCTGGTGCTTTGTGTTTTGTGATGATATTAGTGCAAAAATACTCATTTCTACCAGCTAGTTTTCTTACTGTATTTAGTTTTTGCTCGCGGGACTATAGTTTATTTAACTATTGGCTTAATCTTAGGAGATATGTATTTATCATTATACACGATGAATCCGTCTGACTGCACACTAGTAGGTTTCAAGGCATTAACTACCATCCATAAATCCTTTTGAAGTATTTGGGACGTAAGAGGAATGTATGTTGCAATTTCATCATGTCATTGTCTAAACAATGTTAACATAGTTCATTATTTCAGTCCTACTTACCAAACATCGATCCGGTCTTTACACTCCTTTACTTGTAAACTAAGGTGGCGCAATCGAAAAAATGAATAAAAAAGAAGCAACTTAAACATATAAACACGATGGTCAAGAACATAAATATTGAAGTTCATTTTAATCCAAATGCATCTTATAGTTTTAGGATTGGTATCTTCCAATCAACTTAGAATATATAATGATTAAAAAAATCTATTCGTTAATAATGCAACAATGTAGCTCGATACGTAAAATATGTATGAATCTATACATATCTAATCATATATCATTCAGTGAAACAAAATGAACAAAAGAATCTCGGGTTAACAATGAAGAGATAGTGTATGGGCGGCAAAATCCCTATCTAAATCCTTCATCATTCTTATGCTTTCTCCTGTTGTTGCAAAAACTACCGTAAGTAATATTAATGCTAACCTCAAACGTCGTATCATGATCCTCGGTCAATCGATATATACGTATATATCGTATGATCGATGTATGTATCCTCCTCTTCTTCTTCTCTTTTTCTTTGTCGTCAACAATTTTTTCCTGCTTTGAATTTTAATGGGGGCTAGAAGTTTTCAACCGGATGATGTATCAAGATGCTAATCGGATGGAAGATTTTGAATGCCGTCTGATATGGACTAAGGGAATGAAATAGCACCGCAAAAGAAAGTTTCTTTTAGTGAATCGAATAGTAACTTTTCTAGTGAATTTCTTAAAAATTTATTGATCAAATTTTATCTGTAATATGTAAGTTAGTTCTAACACATCTATAAATGGATCCACTGAGGTATTCAAGTATGTGGAGGAAGCTGCAACAAAAAGGATCAAGAGCTAGAAAAAATAAAATGTTGTCTCTTGCTGGTAAGGAAGTTTTGTTGAAAGCAGTTAAACAATCTTTACATGTGTATGCCATGTCGTGCTATAAGTTAACACAGAGCATTTGTCAAAAGATTGAGAAAAGCATGTCAAATTTCTAGGCAGGAGATACGGAGGGGAAGGAGAAACTAACTAGAGGAAAAGATAGTGGTAGCCTAGGTTTTAAAGATTTGGGTAGTGCCAATGAGGCTGCATCGGCAAACTAGGTGTGGAGGCTGATTATTGAGCCTTATACGTTGATGAAACGAGTAATGAAAGCTAAATATTTCACATATATATAGCTCTATTTTCCAAGTAGAAACAGAAAGACAGTGTGTGAGAGCCCTCATTCTAATATAGTTTTGCTTTCTGATTTTTTTTTTTTTTTAAATTTTTCTTGTGCTTGTTGCCTAATTGATTAATCTGATTTTGCAGGTTAAGTAGTGTTATTAGCTGGAAGAGAACTCACCCAGACAAGACAAGCCAACATCATGGGTGACGTCACCACACAAGCCAAGGAAACGGCTCAAACGTAACGGCCAAAAGGTGTGGGTTCATGGATGAAAGTTACTAAACAAATTCGAAGGGCCCCCACCCGGTCAACTGGCACTGTGTTCACTAAGTGGGACGAAATTGTGGCTAAAAATCAAGGTCCTTATGCAATTAACTTGGCTAGTCCATCTAGATTTGCACCACTGCAACAAAAGGAAGATGAACAGGTAACTAATTTTAATTTTAATTCTTCTAAGACATTGGATGTTGGAACTAACAAAATAGGGAGCAACAAAGGGAGACTTACCCACCATAGTCAGGTGTGCGACCCGGGTCGACCAACGGATTAGTCGGGGTAAAGTTCCAGAAACCGTGATATACAACAAAAAAAAAAGGAAAAAAAAAAAGGAACCGATGCAAAGCACAAAAGAGATTGATAATTAGATAAAAAGCACAAAAAGAAGATCAGGTCAAACAGGTCCCTCTAGTGAAATTGGAAAAAAGAAAAAAGTATGTACCAGTTAAAGAGAAAGTTGGGCCCCAAACAACAAACATACTTCCCAAGCCCAACCTTCCACACAACCTCAACTGGGCTAAAATAACCACACATCCCAATCAGGCTCAGGAGACTTATCTACTACTAAGATAATTAAAAAGTCCACAACTACAGACTCTATAACAACACCAGATATCACCCCAACCCATACAATTATCAACATCCCCCACCCTTGTCCCTCACAAAAATCACAGATGAACTCATCACTTCAATCAGGAGCTGACCAACAAAATCCTGCTACAATCGGAAAACCACCCGACAAAACAAACACATTCAATATGAAACCAATACTCAAAATTCAAGGAGGTAACAGAAAGGGGAGTCTACAACAAACATCCCCGATGGAAAATGTAATCCAAACCTTTGTTTCTCCGGTGCTAGATGAGCAGAACACAGAGATGCATGATGCTTCCTGCTCCGACGCCGAGAACGAGGACTTGCCTGGGGGACCCAGGTAAGTTCAAATCCATCCCTTTTATTAATTTATGGATTACAACTTTATAATTCGGAATTGCCGGGGGCAGCTAAAAAAAATTTGATTTTTGCATCTTAAGACATTAATTAAACTCCATAAAATTTCAATAGTTTGTCAGGTTGAAACTAAAGTTAGTGGAGGTAAAGTAGATAAAGCTATTCAAGAAATTGGTATGGATAATTCATATAGAGTTGAAGCAGTTGGCTTCTCGGGCGGAATCTGGATTCTGTGGAATAACCATGTGTCTTCAAAATTTTTGAAACACGATTGGCAGTTTGTGCACTTCTTGTGACTTTTAAAAACAATGATTATATAAATATGGCTGCTGTGTATGGTAGTCCAAAGCCGGTGTTGAGACGCAAACTTTGGGAAAATCTTTATTGTCTTGCAGAGGATATCACAAGCCCGTGGATTGTCTTGGGCGACTTCAATACAATCACAGGGAGCCAGGACAAACTAGGGGGTCGTCAAATGGTTGTGCAAATTTCAGAAGCTGGATTTCAGACAATAATATGGAGGATCTTGGCTTCATCGGGTCCAGGTTTACTTGGAAAAGAGCCCTATGCAATGAACATTACCAATGTCAGATTGAAAAGACAACAGTGAGACATCTTTCTCGGTTTGCGTCAGACCATAATCCGCTATTGATCACCACTACGATGAGCTCAACCATGCATAATAAGAAGCCAAACTTTAGATATCTTGTAGCATGGGAGGCTCATGACTTGTGGTTAGAATGGTTACAAAGGAATTGGAAATCTGAACTACCACTACAAGAAGCTCAATCTGCTTTAATTGTTGCATCAGAAGAATGGAAGTTTCAGGTTTTTGGAAACATCATCGCAAGAAAAAAGAGGCTTATAGCAAGCTTAGATGGAGTTCAAAAGTCTCTATAGAAGTACCTACCAACAAAATAAAGGCTTTAGAACGTCAACTGATGGAAGAATATGAATGCACACTAACACAAGAAGATCTGCTCAGAGTTCAAAAGTCCAATTCACTATGGATCTCCCAAGGTGATAGGAACACAAAGACTTTTCATGCAGTCCACAAAAGAAGAATCCACAAGTAGAGAATCAGGAAGCTACAGCTGGAAGATGGCTCATGGTGTATAGATTCGAATATGCTTAGTCAAAAAGCAACAAATTTTTTCCAAGCAGTATATACGGAGGATGTCACGGAAGATGTAGACTATCACATTAAAGGCGATTTCCCCCAAACTCTTACAGAGACAGAAGCAACTTTTGAGTCAATAAGTAAATGATGAAGAAATCAAAAAAGCCGTATTCGAAATGGGTCCATTTAAAGCTGCAGGACCTGATGGTTTCAATGCATGTTTCTACCAACACAATTGGAGCATTGTTGGTAGTGTAATCAAGATGGTCAAGGATAGCTTCGCACACAAGCAAATTGATTCTGAGCTCAATAAGGCAGTTGTGGTACTCATTCCAAACCTCAATCCTCCAGAAAGATTTCAACACCTACGACCCATTAGTCTAATCAATGTGAATGTTAAGATCGCCACAAAGGTCGCTGAAACAAGTAATGAAACAACTTGTTCTACCTACACAGTCAAGTTTTATTGTTGGTCGGAGTATAGTAGACAATATCATCGTCACCCAGGAAGCAGTCCATACTATGAGAAATGCAAAGGTAACAAAAGGATGGATGGCGTTGAAGATTGACCTAGCAAAAGCCTTTCATAAAGTTAGCTGGAGGTTTATTCACGACACCCTTATTGATGCTGATCTCCATGTCTACTTGATTGACATCATAATGAGTATTCTTCGTACCGGATCAACTAGTATTGCATGGGATGGTATACCCGGGGATAATTTCTTTCTAGAAAGAGGTGTTCGTCAAGGCGACCCCGTTTCTCCATACATTTTTGTTTTATGTATGGAGAGACTCGTGCAAGCAATCAATAAGGCAGTTGCACAGGGACAATGGAAACCTTTGTTCTTTGGAAGGAACGGGGTGAAACTTTCTCATCTCTTCTTCACGGACGACCTTATATTGTTTGCTGAAGCTTCTAAGGAACAAGTTCGAGTCATCTCCAGTATCTTAGAGGCTTTTTGTGAGTTTCAGGCCAAACCTTAAGCAAAGAAAAGTCTATTATCTACTGCTCACCGAATGTAGATGCGCCATTTGCAAATGAGTTAAGCAGGGATATGGGGATCCAGTTGATAAATGATCTTGGTAAGTACTTAGGTGTGCCAATTATATATGGAAGGGTCATCAGGAAAACATACAAATATATTGTCGAAAAAGTGGACAAGAAAGCAGATCAATGGAAACCTGAAAGAATTTCCATGGCAGGGAGATTGACCCTCGCCCAATCAGTCTTGGGTGTTATCCCAACTTATCTCATGCAATCAACAATGTTACCGAAAGGAAGAAGTGACGACATAGATAAAATTTGAAGACGGTTTCTTTGTGGAGCTAAGAAAGATGAAAAGAAAATGAATCGAGTTAATTGGGATTCCATATGTCAACCGAAAGGGCGAGGAAGACTGGGTATCCGTAAAATGCGAGACAGCAATAGCACCTTAATCCTCAAACTGGCATGGGGTTTAATCTCAGATAATGACAGTTTATGGTGTAAAGTCCTGAAAGCAAAGTATGGGCTTGCTGAAGGAGCCATCCCGGATGATATTTCCAGGAATCAAAGCACTCACTTATGGAAACAAATAGCTCATCTTTGGAAAGAAGGTCTAAAAGGTTTGGTTTGGACATTGAGAAATGGTAGAAAGACTAGATTTTGGAAAGACAGATGGACAGCACTTAGAATAGGGAAATTGTATTGAATTCATAATGTGTTGTGCACAATATACAGACTATATATAGACAATAACAAACCCTATAATAGGAAATATACTAAATATTACAATACGCCCCCGCAAACTCACGGCGGAGAAGAGAGAAGCCGAAGTTTGTCCCGAAATCGAAAGAATAACTCTTTGGACAAGGGTTTTGTCGAATATCGCAAGTGATCAGCAGCAGAGATAGAATTGACCGAAACAAACTTACGCCGAACATGATCTCGAACAAAGTGAAAATCAACCTCAACATGTCTTGTACGAGCATGGAACACAGGATTCACAAGAAGGAAAACCGCACTACCGTTGTCACACCAAATAGAGGGAGGCGATTTAAAGAAACGCCTAACTCGGACAACAGATGACACACCCAATGCAGCTTCAACACAGACATTAGCAACCGCACGAAACTCACCTCGGTAGACGAGCGAGCCACGGTGGGCTACTTCCTAGATGCCCGTGCAATGAGATTAGGTCCCAAATAAATGAGAAAACCAAGTAGTAGAACGACGATCATCCGGACAACCAGCCCAGTCAAGATCACTAAACGCAGAAGAGTACCCAAATCAGAGGATGCGAACTAAACAAATCAATGGTACCGCGAAGATAGCGAAGAACCCGTTTGAGAGCTCGAAATGAGAAGTGCGAGGTGATGCATAAACCGACAAAGCTTATTAACCGCAGGAGATATCCGGACGAGTGAGAGTGGTATACTGCAGATCGCCACACAACCGATGATAAGTAGTCGCATCATCGGAGACAACAGAGTACCATCCAAACGGGACAACACAACATTAGCTCGCAAAGGAGTGGAAACAGGTTTGCAAGTATGCATATTTGCAAGTCGTAGCAAATCGTGACATACTTGCTTGCGAGAGAGAAGCAAACCCTTGGAAGTACGACGAACCTCAACCCCAAGAAAGTAACTCAATGGACCTAAATCCCGAGAGAAAACTCCTTAGCAAGACAAGAGATAAAATGCTGAACCAAACCAAGTGCTGCTGTAAGAATAATGTCATCCACATAGACCAAGAAAAACACAAGCTGCGACCCACGGCGATAGACAAAAAGAGACGGATCACAACGAGACTCCACAAAACCCAAGGTAAGTAGAAATGCCACACCGAGAATACCAGCCCGAGGAGCTTGCTTAAGACCATACAAGGACTTATGCGGTTTACACACATAATGAGGGCGCACCGGATCAACAAACCCCGTGGCTGAACCATATACACGGTCTCACCGAGAACACCATTAAGAAAGGCATTACGACATCAAGCCGAGAAATCGACCATCCACGAGCCAGGGCAACAAAAAACGGAACGAATGGTGACCGGCTTAACAACTGGACTAAAAGTGTCAGTGTAATCAACCCCAAAAGACTGAGTAAAACCTCGAGCCACCAACCGAGCCTTATACCGCTCAATAGAGCCATCAGCATGAGTTTTAATCTTATAGAGCCATCGATTACCGACAACATTGCCGGAGGAAGGAGGGGAACTAAAGTCCATGTGTTATTTTTGAGGAGGCGGAAATTTCATCCTTCATGGCATTCGCCACCGAGGAAGAGATTTGGCTTGGGTGAAGGATGTAGGAGCAGAGACAAGGCTGGGAAACAGAGGTAAGATGAGCCGAGGATCAAAGATTTTCTTGGGCTTGGGTTGTGGACGAAGTGTCATTGAGTCTTGACGGGAAGAAGGAGGAGGAGGTGGCGGCGGAGGACTGCAATCAGATGATGAAGGGCTGGATGCAGGAGATCTAGCTAAAGGTGATGAGTCGGGAGGGATAGGAGGAGACGAAAGAACTGGTGTACTAGAAGGAGACGAAGAAGACGCAGAAGACGACGCAAGTATACCAGAGAATCGGTTACACGCAACCAAGGGGTAGCGAAGACTCCAGCAGTGAAGAAGGAGAACTAGAAATAGGAAGTTTAAAGGGAAAGAGTTTCTCATCAAACTCAACGTGACGAGCAACATAAAGACGGTTATTCACCACATCAAAACAGCGATAACGAAGATGAGATGGAGAATACCCAAGAAAGACACACTGAGTAGAACGAAAGGAGAATTTATGTTTATTATAAGGGCGAAGAAGAGGATAGACAGCGCAACCAAAGACACGAAGAAAGGTATAATCAGTGGTGGCGATATAGTGTAGTGAAGGGAGGTGACCTTGAAGAGGTTTACTAGGGTGGCGATTAATCAAAAACACAGCAGCTTTAAAAGCAAACTCCCAAAACCGAAAAGGGTACTGGAATGGCCAAGGAGAGCAAGTCCAATGTCGACAATGTGATTTAATTTTGCGTTCAGCAGTGCCATTCTGCTCATGAGTGTGTGGGCACGCTAAACGATGAACAATACCAACATCCTTAAAGAAAGAATTGAGAGAACGAAATTCACCACCCCAATCGGAGTTAACACTTTTAATGGTAGTGCCAAATTGGTTTTCTACGAGAGCTTTGAATTGCTTGAAAACATGGACAACATCACTTTTATACTTAATTGGATAAATCCATGTGAATAAAGAGAAGTCATCAATAAAAACACAAAGTAGCGATAACCATTGAATGACAAAATAGGAGCAGGACCCCAAACATCGGTGTGAATTAAATCAAGAGGTTTAGAGCTACGATGAAATGTAGAAGGTAACCGACCCTATGTAACTTCCTAAACAACACGCCTCACATTTATCGGTGGACGTGGACACAGAGGAGTAAGGAAGTTGAAATTGCCTAACCAAAGTACGAAGAGTGACATTATTAGGGTGCCCAAACGGGCATGCCACCGACCTAAAGAGACAAGATAAGTCTGCTGGAGACAAGGAACCACGAGCGGGAAGATCTAAGCGATAGAGACCATTATCACCCGACCGTGGAGGAGGAGTTCCTTGGTTGAAAGATCCTTAACACAACAAGAGTCGAATAAAATTCAAAGAAACAGTGATTATCACGGTAAACTTTTGAACAGATAACGAGGTTTAGTAAGAGAAGGAGCATGCAAGACACGATTTAAATAAAGAGGACGAGAAAACGATGGCAAAACAGATTGACCAACATGCTGAATAGGTAAAGCATCTCCATTACCAACTAAAATATGATCCGTACAAGTATAATCATTGGAGATACGAGAGAGGACAAATCGGCGTGACATGATCGGTAGCACCGGTGTCCGGATGCCGTGGAGTGACAGAAGGTGCATACTGCGCCATATGAGCTTGAGGAGACATAGTCGCCTCCGGTAAGACGGAAGAGGCAACAAACCAGTGAAGGCGGTGCAGGGAACTCGCTGGCATAAGCACCGACCGAACGGCGGGGGTCGAGGAACAAAGTTAGTATCAAAACGGCGTCGACAAGTGGCGGCCGTGTGATTCAAGATGCCGCAAAGCCGACACGTCTCACCCGGAGCGGGAGGGTATAACCACGCCGACCACCACCACGACCGAAACCCGATTGCGCCGGCCGCCGCGCTGCGAGCGACCGGCACGAGAGGATTGAGGCGGCGTAGGAGAAGGTGGCGACCGCACAAGCATGGCCGTGGGTGAAGGACCGGCATTGAGCGTGAAGAAGCACCTCATATGAAACTAACTGTCCAAGGAGATCTTGATAGGAGGGGGGTTCGGATCGCTGTTGCAGAGCTCCGATGATGCCATTGAATTCGGCACCAAGCTTGCGGAAGATTATGGCATTAAACTCCGCAGGAGATATGCGATGGCCGGCAAGCTGCAGTGTATCGGCGATGCCCTTCGCTTTGGAGAGGAGAGCCGTGACCGACAAGTCACCTTTTTGCAAGCTGTGGAGCTCCATAACAAGCTGGGTCTGTTGAGCATAAGAAAGAGTGCCGAAACCCCGTGAAGAGCCGTCCATGCACCTCCGATGTTGTGCACCACGGAGAACGGGAAAAATCTCTTCAAGAACGGAAGAAAGAATCCAAGAGAGGACCAACCGATCCTTTTGCTGCGGATATCAAACTCAGGATTGAGTTGGGGCACGGCACCACTAACGGAAGGAAGAAAACGTGGCGGTGCAGGTTCGGTGCCGTCGACAATACCGGCAACACGAAACATAGTCAATAAAGGAGTAAATTGAAGACGCCAAGACGAATAGTTGGCCCGCGATTGCAGCTTCACAGTAAAGGAATGATTGAGAGATTGCATACTAGGTTGAAGAATTGATACTGATGCCTGTGAAGAAGATACCGGTGACCGAAGATGAGTAGCCTGGTCGGCGGATGAAAGGTCGGTGATAGTCATCGTTGAAAGTAAGCAAGCAAAACAGAATTCTTTATGATGATTTTTTTTTTTTCTCTTTTTTTTTTTTTTTTTTTTTTTTTCTCTTTTTTTTTTTTTTATATTTAACAAAGAACAATCAACGGCAGCAACAATCGGCCAAAAACGGAGATGACGGAGATGAGGAACGACGACGGCAGCAGCACGGAGGATGCGACCGACGACGGAACGGATTCAAAAGACACGCCGACGAACACACGCGGGCAGTAGCAGAAAGACAGCGGCAGCAGCGGCGGCGAAGAAGGGGGCAGCGGCGGCAGTAGGTGATGCTGAGTTTGGTCGACGGGGAGAAGAAGAAGAACGCCGGTGATGCTGAGTGTGGTCGGCGCCGGCAGGGAAGGTTGGATGGGAGAAGGTGACGATGCCGGCAGCAGCAGCGGTAGAAGATCAACGGCAGCGGTGGAAGATCTTTACGATTGTCGACGGCAGGTGTGCAGCAGCAGACCGGCGGCAGGAAAACAGCAGCACGAATTGGAAGAGGAGAGGAGGAGCACACGCCGGCGATGCGGAGCGTGGTCGACGGTGAAGAGCAGAAGAAAGAAGCCGACTATCGGCGGAGGGGGTGTGCACGGCCGAAAAAGAGGAAGTCGGCAGGGGAGAGAAAGAGAGAGGAGAGAAAAGAAAAAAAATTGGTTTTGTTAAACCTAGCTCGATACCAACTTAGAATAGGGAAATTGTATTGAATTCATAATGTGTTGTGCACAATATACAGACTATATATAGACAATAACAAATCCTATAATAGGAAATATACTAAA